ACTCCAAGATCCCCCTCACAGTTCCTGCTATTAAGCCTGGTTTCACCCAGTCTATATGTGGACTTTTGGTTTTTCTTGCCTAAGTGTAAGACTTTACTCTTCTCTACATTGAATTTCATTTTGTTAGCTAGGGCCCCAGGATTCAAGTCTGTCAAGATCCATCTGAATCTAGAGCCTATCATCTAGGGAATTCCAAAGGTGCTTTTTCAGGAAACAACTGGACTTTCTGGGTTTTTCTTTGAAGACGTTTCGCTTCTCATCCAAGAAGCTTCTTCAGCTCTGACTGGAGGGTGGGGAATGGAAGGATTGATACTCCTTGCAGACAGCTGGTCATTTGCATCCTTTTAGAGGGTTGTTGAGGCCACTTGGAGGTTTACCTGTGTCCTCAGGGTCTCCTGAGTGGTGCAAACAGTTCCTGTAGTCTGCAATTTTTCCTCTGGAAATCCATTCCTACTCCCACACCATTCAAAGATGCTCACCCCAAATTGTATAGCTGAAGGTCTGTAGAGATTCTCAGTCATCCAGGTCATGGTTGCCCCAAAGGTAGGGTAGGAGCAGGAATGGATTTCCAGAGCAAAAAGTTGCAGACTACAGGAACGATTTGCACCACTCAGGAGACCCTGAGGACACAGGTAAACCTCCAAGTGGCCTCAACGTCTCTCTAAAAGGATGCAAATGACCGGCTGTCTGCAAGGAGTATCAATCCTTCCCTTCCCCACCCTCCAGTCAGAGCTGAAGAAGCTCCTTGGATGAGAAGCAAAACGTCTTCAAAAGAAATAAAAAATCCAGTTGCCTCTTGAAAAAAAGCAGCTTTGGGACAACAATGACTTGGATGACTGAGAATCTCTACCATCTTGGGTCTTGGTTATTCCGACCAGCTTAGTCTCATCTGAAAATTCATTCCTCTTCTATTCCCTCATCTAAGTCATTTCTTTTTTTTTTCTTTTTTTTTTGAAAAAAAGTTTTATTTTAGATTAAAAAAAAACCCAACAACAATAACATAAAAATATCATCCTTACAAACGATCATAGACAGCATCTCAATCGGTTAAAATCCTTTCGTGCTTACAATTCTCCAAATCTCCTCATATAACAATTATTCTTTACTTAAACTAAAAATACATATTTAAACATTTCATATATGCTATCTCATCTCCATCCTTTTTTTATCAAACCATTGATAAAATATCTCCCATATCAAAGAGTATTGTTTATCTTCCTGTTCTCTTATTTCAAATGTCAATCTACTCATTTCAGCACAGTCCAACATTTTCATAATAATTTCTTCATCGGTAATTATCTTCTCTCCTTTCCAGTTTTTGGCAAATACAATTCTAGCCGCTGTTAAAATGTTCACAATTCTTTATTAAATGTATATTGAAGAGTCCTGGATTGGAACTTAGAAGACCTTCAAAATCCCTTCCAGGCCTATCATTCTATGGTCTATTCCTCCCCACCCCGCCCCGCTTTTCTGCCTCCGTGATCTTGATCATGTTCGGAATTATCTACCTTGATCTAACAAAACAACCTTCAGCCTTGGAAATAGAGCCGGTGGTTTTGCTGTCACTTGATACCACATCGTACCACAAGTAACAAATCACCAGAGCGGTTTAACTTGCGCAACTTTTTTGTGGAAGATAAAAGCAACCTCTCTCCGTTCTGAATTTGTACGCCGTCCATCGTTTCCTACACGTCTGTCCTGTTTCCTTTTTAATTTTCCATTTCAGACTGAGACACGGGCCCTGAGACACACAGCCACGAGGCAGCCGACACAGGGAAGATCCACACAAACAAACAAAACACACACACACACACACACAAGCGTACTTATCTGGAGGGGATGCTGCTGGCTTTTTAGCTTCTGCAAAGGTGCTTGGAGAATTCGCTGGCTGTTCCTGAAAACAGATTTAACAGATTAACAGAGTTGGAAGGGACCTTGTAGGTCATCTAGTCCAACCCCCTGCCCAAGCAGAGACCCTACACCATTGCTGACAGATGGCAATTCAAGCTTTTCTTGAAAGCCCCCAGGGATGAAGCTCCCACAACTTCCGAAGGCAACTTCTGTTCCATCGGTTGATGGTTCTCACTGTCAGAAAACTTCTCCTTATTTCCAGATTGAATCTCTCCTTGATCAGTTTCTATCCATTGTTTCTTGTCTGGCCTTCAGGTGCTTTGGAAAATAGCTTGACCCCCTTCCTCCTCTCTGTGGCAGCCCCTCAAGTATTGGAAGATGCTATCCTGTCACCCCTGGTCCTTCTCTTCTCTAGACTAGCCAGGCCCAGTTCCTGCAACCGTTCATCGTATATTTTAGCCTCCAGTCCCCTCATCATCCTGGTTGCTCTTCTCTGCACTCTTTCTAGAGTCTCCACGTCTTTTTTTATAGTGTGGTGACCAAAAATGAATGCAGAATTCTAGGTATGGTCTTACTAAGGCTTTATAGAGTGATATTAGTACCTGACTTGAGTACTTCACAAACGCTCCCTGGGTCCTTGGGAAGCTGTGAAGAGACTGTGCTCTTCTGCACGGTTTTCAAGAAAGAAAGTTAAAAAACAAACAAGCCGAACACTAAAATTAAGGGAATTGTTTTTATATACAGGCGAAATGACCCAGAGCAGTTCTAGAAGAATATAGAACATATTGCTGAAAAGGACATCAGAAGTCTTCTAGTACAAAGAGCAACAAAGATGATTAGGGGACTGGAGGCTAAAACATAGGAAGAACGGTTGCAGGAAGTGGGTATGCCTAGTTTAATGAAAAGAAGGACCAGGGGAGACATGATAGCAGTGTTTCAATATCTCAGGGGCTGCCCCAAAGAAGAGGGAATCAAGCTGTTCTCCAAAGCCCCTGAAGGCAGGACAAGAAGCAACGGGTGGAAACTAATCAAGGAGTGAAGAAACTTAGAACCAAGGAGAAATTTCCTGACAGTTAGAACAATTAATAAGTGGAACAACTTGCCTCCAGAAGTTGTAAATGCTCCAACACTGGAAGTTTTTCAGAAGACGTTGGATAACCATTTGTCTGAAGTGATGTAGGGTTTCCTGCCTGAGCAGGGGGTTGGACTAGAAGACCTCCAAGGTCCCTTCCAACTCTGTTCTTCTATTCTATTCTAATTTCCTGCTCAAGGCAGAAAACCTGATACCATTTGTCTGAAATGGCTGTCCAATTTATTTTTTGAAAAAGTCCAGTGTTAGAGCACCCACAACTTCAACAGGATACAGAATAACAAGAGTTGGAAGGGACCTTGGAGGTCTTCTAGTCCAACCCCCAGGAGACCCTATATCCATGATGGTGAACCTATGGCACGCGTGCTACAGGTGGCACGCGGAGCCATATCTGTGGGCACGCGAGCATTGCCCTAGCTCAGCTCCAGTGCACATGCGCGCGCCGGCCAGCTGATTTTCAGGCCTTCCGGTCCAGGGGTGGGTTCTAACATTGTTTAGTACCAGTTCTGTGGGCGTGGCTTATTTTGTAGGTGTGGCTTGGTGGGGATAAATGTGAGTGGGTGGGCGTGGCCAACTTTTTTTTTTTTAACTTTTAAAAGCATTTTTTCTACCACCTTAAGAGGTTGCAGGAAAAAATGCTTTTAAAAGCCTCTCTGGGGATCAGGCAACTCAGCTGGGATCACCAGAGGGGCTTTTAAAGGCATTTTTTTTTTAGAAATTATTTATTATAATAAATAATAAATATTTTTTTGTAGAAAAAATGCTTTTAAAAGTAAAAAAAAAAAGCCTCGGATGAGGTGGGTGGGGTAAACGAGTGGTGACCAGGCCGGGCACCGGTTTGGGGGCGTGGCCAATGTTATTACCAGTTCTCCGAACTACTACAAATTTTTACTACCGATTCTTGCAAACCGGGAGCAACCCACCACACTCCGGTTCCACCGGAAGTCGGGAAACGGGCTGTTTCCGGCCTCCGGAGGGCCTCCGGGGGCGTGGGGAAATCCGTTTTTGCCCTCCCCAGGCTCCAAGAAAGCCTCTGGAGGTTGGGGAGGACAAAAAACGGGCCTACCTGGCCCACCATGCCATTGCATGCCAAAAGTGTGGGGAGCGTGGGGGAGGGTCGTGCATTCATGCATGGGGAGGCGGAGCGCATTGAATTATGGGTGCGGGCATGTACATGCATGACCCCCCGCACTCCCTCTGCTTTTGGCACGCAACAGCAAAAAGGTTAGCCATCACATGGTTGTCGAATCTCTTCTTGAAAACTTCCAGTGTTGGAGCATTCACAGCTTCTGGAGGCAATTTGTTCCACTGGTTAATTGTTCTCACTGTCAGGAAATTTCTCCTTTGTTCTAGGTTGCTTCTCTCCTTGATTAGTTTCCATCCATTGCTTCTTGTCCTGCCTTCAAGTGCTTTGGAGAATAGCTTGACTCCCTCTTATTTCTGGCAGCCCCTGAGATATTGGAAGACTTCTATCATGTCCCCCCTAGTCCTTCTTTTCATTAAACTAGACATACCCAGTTCCTGCAACCGTTCTTCGTATGTTTTAACCTGCAGTCCCCTAATCATCTTTGTTGCTCTTCTCTGAACTCTTTGTAGAGTCTCAACATCTATTTTATAAAGTGGCGACCAAAACTGGATGCAGGATTCCAAGTGTGGCCTTACCAAGGCATTATAAAGTGGAATTAACACTTTTTTTTAAAATTTGATTTATATGCCGCCCTTCTCCAGAGACTCAGGGCGGCTTACAATGCATTAAGCAATAGCCTTCATATTTTTGTATGCTTTATACAAAGTCAGCTTATTGCCCCCACAAACTGGGTCCTCATTTCACCTACCTTAGAAAGGATGGAAGGCTGAGTCAACCTTGAGCCTGGTGAGATTCGAACCAGCAGTAATTGCAGGCAGCTGTGTTAATAACAGGGTGCTTAGACCACTGTACTATCAAGGATCACTTCACGTGATCTTGGATCTATCCCTCTTTTAATGCGGCATTGACTGTGGCCATTCATATAATAATAATAATAATAATAATAATAATAATAATAATAATAATAATCAGATGCCATTTTCCTTTTCAGTTGGTGGGCGCCCCAGTACGAGCCACGAAGCTGTGACAATCACAGCTGGCAAGACCCTCATTCTCACCTGTATCCTGAGTCAGAGGGATCTGCCAGGAAGCGCTGAATGGTACAAAGACCTGGGCAATGACCGGAAGATAATTTTGAGGGAAAATGACACATCTTCTCGTGGGGTGAGGCTCGTGCAAGGATCGCCAATTGACTTCAGTGTCAGACTCAACAACATCGGCCCCGAAGATAGCGGGACCTACTGTTGCTCAGTAGTCAAGGAAGGTCCCCAAAGCAGAAAATTTATAAAGACAAAATCGGTGGTCTCTGTGATTGGTAGGTGCTATTCAGGTGGGATCTACTCTAGTCAATTCTGAGACATTTGGGAGTGAATCTGATGGGAAACTGCCCATCAGGCTGGAAGGAGGAGTCAAGCAGGGACCTAGCTTGGAGTCCTTGCGCAGTCACAAGAGGCAAAAGGCAGTTTTGTTCCTTATGCCATCGGTCTTGTAAATTCACAGGTTTCTTTTTTTTTTTTCCCCTGCCATGTATAGGTATACATTCGAACTAGACTGTGATGTTTCTCTGTGTCATTTATTTATTTATTTATTTATTTATTTATTTATTTATTTATTTATTTATTTATTTATTATTGCGATTTATATGCCGCCTTTCTCCCTGGGGACTCAAGGCGGCTTACAAAATGACAAATTCCAATACAAATCACAATGAAATAAAATTAAAATCAGCGACCCTATTAAAAGCAGTTTAAAATTATGGCAGTGTATATATGTGTGGATATGTAAGTATATGCCTAATGGTTATCCTTTGAGAGCTGAATGCAATGAAATTTCGTTTTAATGTATGCTGGTGAGTGTACATTTAAAGTGACAATAAAGTTTCTGTTCTATTCTATTCTATTCTATTCTATTCTATTCTATTCTATTCTATATTTACTATTCTGTTCTGTTCTCTATTCCATTCCATTCCATTCCAATTCTAACTCTGATTCTGATTCTAATTATTTTCTGTTCTGTTCTGTTCTATTCTAATTCTAATTCATATTCTTATTCTAGTCAAAATGGAGCTTCAGAATTTAAACCAACCAGCACAAACAAAGCTGCTTCCTGCAAAAGCTCACGTGCCTTTGCTCCTCCTTTATGTCTTATAGGAAGGGTCAATCATCTCCAAGCCTTAGTCCAGAGTCGCCCCTTTTGTCTTAATTGTTCTTGCCTTCTGGCAGCTCTGCGCATGCGCGCACTGGGAATACGTTATTCCTGTTCATCTGCCTCGCTGACATCAGACTCTGGAGGCTCTGGAGTCAGCACATAACTCCCAGATGGCCCTGGCCCTATCTCTGCCTCTGATGCAGAGCCCTCGTCTGAGCCTTCCCCAGACTCCAAGACTGGCCCATGTTCCTCCCCAGCCTCCTCACTGTCCGACTCTGCTACCAGCTCCTCAGGCTGCCGGTGGACCACAACACGAGGTAGGAGGGAACATTAACTGATGCCTTCATGCTTCCTTTCTCAGCCCATCCATCCCAACCTTTGCTTCGTGGCCCCTCAGACAGCATCGCGGTGGGGTCCCAGGTTTCTTTCAATTGTTCTGCAAAAGAATTCCCCACCCAAGAAATCACAGTCATCTGGTTAAAGGATAAGAATGAAATACAGCCTGCCACGATCAACTTCCTGAATTATACTGCAGAGAAGGGCATCCTATACAGCATGGAGAGCACGGTGGACATTTTGCTCAGACAAGAAGATATGGGGTCAGTGCTGTCATGCCAGGTTCAACACAGCTCCTTGGAGGATCCCTTACAGCAGGACTTTCTACTACTCGGTGAAGTCGTAAGAGGTAGGTGAGCTCTGGGTTGTAGAAAGGGATGAGGTCATGAAGTCTGGGCCTGGTATAAGAGGGGCCCTCTGTTCTGTCCCCAACCACATGCGCACACACCAACAGACGTTCAAGAGTTAAAGACCAAACCAGCCGGCAAAATCCTTTTCCTTATGATAACGGAACTGGGCAACAACCTAGTGGCTGCCTGCCAAGAGTTTATTATTTACGAAGAGGAGAGATAACTTCTCCCCGCTTCTGATACATCAAAAGAAACAGCTCAATAATTACAGAGTCAATCAAGTCCAAAGATAATCCAGCAAAGTCTATAGCCAAAAGTCTGGCAATGCAGGATGGCGTGGAAGCTTTCAGCTTTGTTTGTCACAAGGCTTGACTGGCTACCACGCTCCCTTTTATACCCTGTGGGGTGTGGTCCAGTGACTCAGCCTAATCTCGGGCATGCCTTTTCTTCTGTTGCGCGCGCTTATCTCTGCGACGCTGGCGTGGATCCAGCCAAGACTCATTACCCTCATCACTGTCCATCTGTGGCTGTGTGGACGTGCTTGGCCCCGGCCCTATCTCTTGCCCTTCGGCGGACACCGAAGGCATTGCCAGAGAGGAGGGTCCTGGAGAGGGAGGCCTTGCCAACTCCTCTCCTTCACTCTCGGAGTCCTCTCCTGCCGATGACACAGGCTCAGGTAACGGAGCCACAACACCCTCCATGGCAGAGTTAAGGTACCAGGCAGACCCAGGTTCTCACCCCACGGAAGCCCACTGAGACCAACCCCACTTTCTCAACCTATGCTACCTCACAGGGCTGTGATTTTGAGGAGTAGGTCTTCAGAAAGACCTCTGGCTGTTTCCCTAGGGACATGGGTCAAGATGAGTAGAGTTCCCAGTTGGTGAGATATAATTTAATCCTGATTATCCCAGAGTTGTTTCAGTTTGCTGTAGTGATGTGTATTATGATGGTCTGTTGTACTGCCCAGCCAGATGTTCAGAGTAGATTTGGCATGATTTGTCCTCCTGAAAGAGCCAGGATAGGCAGACGAGGTGTTAACAGATATTGTCGCTGGATATAAGCTCTTCTGAGTGAAGCTGCCTTTTGCAATTGACCGATGGTGAATTTGTCAATGCCGATGATGGTGTTCAAATTGTGGTCCAGATGTGTTGGGATTGCACCTAAGGCACCTATGACTATTGGTATTACCTTTGCCTTTCTTTCTTTCTTTCTTTCTTTTCTTTCTTTCTTTCTTTCTTTCTTTTCTTTCTTTCCTTCCTTCCTTCCTTCCTTCCTTCCTCCTCCTCCTCCCTCTCTCCCTTCCTCCCTTCTTTTCTGTGTGGGTTGCTTCGGTTTGAACCGGTTCGCAAGAACCGGTAGTAAAAATTTGTAGTAGTTAGGAGAACCGGTAATAACATTGGCTGGCCACGCCCAGAACCGATCCCCAGCCCGGTCGCCAGTCGCTTACCCCGCCCACCTCATCAGAGGCTTTTTTTTTTTTACTATTAAAAGCATTTTTTCTACAACCTTTTCAGCCAAAGAGGTTGTAGGGAAAAAAATGCCTTTAAAAGCCTCTGGCGATCCCAGCTGAGTTGCCTGATCGTCAGAGGCTTCTAGAAGCATTTTTTTCCGCAACCTCTTAAGTTGTAGAAAAAAATGCTTTTAAAAGTTAAAAAAAAAAAAAAGTTGGCCACGCCCACTCAGTCACATTCCCCCCCACCAACCACGCCCACAAAATAAGCTGTACCCACAGAACCAGTAGTAAAAAATTTTAGAACCCACCCCTGCTTCCTTCCTCTCTTCGTCTCTTTCTTTCTTTCTTTTTCTTTCTTTTTTTTTCTCTTTCTTTCTTCTATCATCTATTTATCTGTCTATCATCCTCCCTCCCTTCCTTCCTCCTCTCCCTTCCCCCTCTCTCCATCTTCTCTCCTCACTTTCTTTCCTCCTTCCTTCTTTTCCTTTTCTCTCTCTCTTTTCTATCATCTATCTATCTTTCTATCTATCCTTCACCCTTCCTTGTTTCCTTCTTCTTCTCCTCAACCTCTCAACTTCCTTCCCTCCTTCCTCCCTCCCTCCCTCTCTTTTCTTTTTCTTTCTTCTCATCTACCCTCCCTCCCTTCCTTCCTCCCTCTCTCCCTTCCTCCCTCCCTCTCCACCTTCCCTCCTCCCTTTCTCTTCCCTTCCTCCTTTTCTTCTTCTCTCTCTCTTTCTTTTTTCTATCATCTATCTTTCTATCTATTCTTCTCCCTTCCTTCTTTCCTTCTTCTCTCAACTTCTCAACTTCCTTCCCTCCTTCCTCCCTCCCTCTCTTTTCTTTCTTTCTTTCTTCTATCATCTATTTATCTATCATCCTCCCTCCCTCCCTTCCTTCCTCCCTCTCTCCCTTCCTCCCTCCCTCTCTCCACCTTCCCACCTCACTTTCTCTCCTCCTTTCCTTCTTTTCCTTCTTCTCTCTCTCTTTCTTTTTTCTATCATCTATCTTTCTATCTATCCTTCTCCCTTCCATCTTTCCTTCTTCTCTCTGCAACCTGTCAACTTCCTTCCCTCTCTCCCTCCCTCCCTCTCTCTCTTTTCTTTCTTTCTTTCTTTCTCTTTCTTTCTTTCTTTCTTTCTCTCTCTCTCTCTCTCTCTCTCTCTCTCTTTCTCTCTTTCTCTCTCTCTTAATCATCTCAGTTGGGGTGCCTTAGAGTGGGGGAGATCCTGGATGGCCTAGCACAGGCACCTACCCATCTGCCCCCTGCCCCTCCCCCCCAAGACCTCTCCCATCCTTGGAGCAGACTTTATTAGGATTAAATCAAAATCATCCACTGTTTTTTCTCCACAGGCTCAACACAGAATACTCCCACCAATCTCTGGATTGCCCTTTTTCTGAACAAAGCAGCCGTCCTTCTTCTTGTCTCCTTCCTCTTCCTAATTAAAGTGTACAAATGCAATTGTGCAAGAAATGACTTCAGATTATCCCAGGAAGCAAGACAGTCTGGAAAGTGAAGTTAAGAGCTTCTATTCCTGACAGACTTTCAGGATGAGAAAGGATCTGTTTAGGGAATCAACCATATCGTTGCTAAAATGCTTTGTATAATGCTTCATCCTTGCAACCCCATCACATTATCTCTCTCTATAAAAATGGCTGTGTGTATGTTCCAGCATAACTCTGGAACGCCTCGAGCAATTTCAACCAAACTTGGTACACAGATGACTTACTCCCTGGAAACAAATACTGTGGGGGTCAGACACCCCTAACACACCTCAGGGTGTGTGTTCTGTTAAAATACAGCCTGTTGTGCCTTAAAATGGCTTCTACCGTACTGCCTTAAAATGGCTTCTACTGTACAGCACAGTGGAGTTGCCATGGTAATGGCTTCACAGTACTCCACAAGGGGGCTCCCTCTGGTAAGGGGGAAAATCAAAGATTAGAAATTACATTTGGTCCGGACATTTTCAACAAAGGCTTCGATTATTCTTGAGGGCAAATGTATGGCCATGATCAATAAAACATTACCGCAACTCAGCCTGCCTACACCACTATGAGACCGACACGACGTACTTCACGCAGATTACATACGAGAAAACTATAACATCAAACAGCTTAGTGCATATATTGTGGACAAGAAGCCACTTCTAAATCAAGATCAGAAAAAAAAGCATACCAAATCAGCTAGCACAGGGGTCTGCAACGTTAAACACTCAAAGAGCCATTTGGACCTGTTTCTCACAGAAAAGAAAACACCGGGAGCCACAAAACCTTTCCTGTGCCTGACTATTTCTTGAGCAGCCACAAAACTAGCCTATGTAGTTGAAGTAAACATTCTGTTTTCTTCTGAAACTTTTTTTTCCTTGGATTTATTCATGGTTGGCCTACGGGGAGTTGAAAAGCTCAATAAATCACATGCCGGTGGGTGTCGCACATTGGTGGTTGTGACGCCTATTTTGAGTGACAGGGAGCCACAGCAGAGGGGTGAAAGAGCCACATGCAGCTCCAGAGCCGCAGGTTGCTGACCCCTGAGCTAGCAAAACAACAAGGTGATATCATTTTACCTGACACTTCTGGGGCCACAGGGTGTTCTGTCCCCGTCTCTCTCTCACACACACAAAAACAGACAGCCGGGGATAAATAAACTGGCAGACAACCAACTCTTCCGATAAGACGCTTGGCAGCAACCCAGTAGCTGCTTGCCAAGAACTTTTACTCAATAAACAAAATACCCACAGTCAAGAATTGTCCAGTTCGTAAAATAAATCCAAGGCCGATAATGTTGTTTCCAAAGATGCAATGTGACTCGATAGTAGTTAGTTTTGTCCATCACAGGGTCTGAATCGCCACCTCACCCCCTTTTATACCCTGTGGGGTGTGGTCCAGTGACTCAGCTTAATTTCTGGCACGCCTTTTCTTCTGTTGCACGCGCTTATCTCTGCAACACTGGCGTGGATCCAGCCAAGACTCATCACCCTCATCACTGTCCACCTGTGGCTGCGTGGACGTGCTTGGCCCCGGCCCTATCTCTTGCCCTTCGGTGGACACTGAAGGCATTGCCAGAGAGGAGGGTCCTGGAGAGGGAAGCCTTGCCAACTCCTCTCCTTCACTCTCAGAGTCCTCTCCTGCCGATGACACAGTCTCAGGTAACGGAGCCACAACACGGGGAAAACATTTTTAGCTAATTTAATTGTCACCGAAATCAGGACTCAGGGTGAAGTTGCTCTTCCTGTCTAATACAGGATTGGGATAAATAAATACCTGGGCAACATTGGGCTGTCAGCTAGTAAGCCTATAAAACCTAAACGGAGATTTAAAAAAAAAATCAAGCTCACTCTGTTTTGCCATGTCTGTCACACAGAGGAACCGATATTTAAATTTGGATGCTGATTCTTTGGGATTTTTTTTTCTAAAAAAATAAATAAATAAAAGAAGTAAGCTGAAGTAATAATTCTTTTGACGTTCATTTAAATTGTGGGAAGCCCCCTCCCCCACCCTTGAGAATGAAATATTTTGGGGAATATTAAAAAAGGCAGAATAACACTTCCAGAAGATAGGCTCAAGATACAGAAGGATCTTGACAGACTTAAACATTGGGCGCTATCTAACAAAATGAAATTCAAGGGTGAAAAAAGGAAGGTTCTACATTTAAGGAAGAAAAACAAAAGGCACAGGCACTGTATATGTGGTACCTCGCTCAATCGTAGTAACTGTGAGAGGGATCTTGGAGTCCTAGTGAACAATCACTTAAATAGGAGCCAGCCGTGTGCAGCAGCTGCCAAAAAAGCCAATGCAATCCTAGGCTGCATCAATAGAGGGATGGAATCAAGATAGGAGGTGAGATGGGAGGGGGGACATTCCTGGGAGCTGAAGTAGTAGATATGGGGAGAGTGATTTGGAAGATGGCCAATGAGACGCAGAGAATTGGGGAACGGAAAGGGAAGGTTTGGGGTCAGGAAGTCGGTGTTGGCCACGCCATAATCGGGGACAGATTGTCGTGCTAAATAAATGAAAGATTTCATCGAAGACTATTTGTTTGGAAATGCAATTTATTTTATTTGAGACGACATCGAAACCTGACACTCCGCCCTCTGCCTTTTATCCCCAGAGCTTGTACGGGGCTTCGCTAGCAGCAATGGCTCTTCCGTCCCAAGGACCAGTCCATAGATTTCCACAGCTCTCCTCTCCTCTGCCTTCTGCACATCCACGCATCAGGCACTGGACCCAACTGTTTCTCCTCTTCCTCATCAGCCACCTCCAGACCTGGGGGCCGTTGACTCTCCATCAGAGGGCTGACGGATGGCCCAGGCTCCGCCTCTCTCTCTCTCTCTCTCTCTCTCTCTCTCTCTCCCTCTCTCTCTCTCTTTCTCTCTCTCCCAGCTCCATTCCCTCTTCCCCCTCTGAGCTATCAGGTTGCCTTGATGCTGATCCTGACTCCCACGCCTCCTCCTCCTCCTCTGATTCAGCTGCTGGAGGGGCCGGCAGCCGACATGCCACAACATATGGAGGCGGAGGCCAGGGGGAGAAGGCAGGTGATCCGGACATGCTGAGCAGCTGCCTGTCTCATGGGAGGCTCGCAGGGGGCTTGCACGGTGGCAGCAACAGCAGGCGGAGGCAGAAGAATGGGGGATGGGAGAGGCAGGCAATCCCGATGCCCTGTGTGGGTGGTTGTTTGATGGTGGGACGGAGTGGGCGGTGCATTGGGGTCGCCTCTGCCTCCGCCTTGCTCTGCTGCACACTTTTCGCCCAAAAGGAGATGAAGCTACGTGTGCTCTCCGTTTCAAACCGGTCCTTTTTCCAAGCACGCAAAGTTTTGAGTCTCCGTCATTTCTCCGTCTGGGTGAAAAGTGTTTGGTACGCCTATGGGATGCTTGGGAATGGAGCGATTTGCTCTGGAGGAGGATTGTGGGATCTTTAGGGAGCTCTCTGAGCTTGGTTGATTTCTTGCAGATGTTTCAATGACCCAACTAGGTAGCATCATCAGTGTCACAAGGGAATGGGATTTGTGGGGGGGGGGAAGGTGGAGGAGGAAGAGAAGGAGGAGGGGGAAGAGGAGAATTGTAGGGTCCTTAGGGAGTTCTCCGAGCTTGGTGGTTTTCTTGCAGACATTTCTATATAATAATAAATTTGATTTATATGCCGCCCTTCTCCGGAGACTCAGGGCGGCTTACAATGCGTTAAGCAACAGCCTTCATCCTTTTGTATATTTTATACAAAGTCAGCTTATTGCCCCCACAAACTGGGTCCTCATTTCACCTACCTTAGAAAGGATGGAAGGCTGAGTCAACCTTGAGCCTGGTGAGATTCGAACTTACAGTAATTGCAGACAGCTGGTGCTAATCACAATGCTTTCAATCTGCTGAGCCATCAGGCCCTCATTTCATGGCCCAACTAGGTGAAACAAAACAGAAATCCCTGCTGAGGTCTCCCTCTTGGTTTAATTCCGCGTCGTCTTTGCCGATTATAAATTTAGAACTCCGGAATCTCTCCTTAGTCACTCTCTTCACGGAGCCACCATCCCAAACGAGGCAATTGGTTCAAATTTAGCAGCAGGAAATGCCAGTTCCCCTTTTGGTTCTGTCTCGAAAAGAAAACGTTTTGGGTGGATCAGGAGATGAAGTAGCTCCAGATGTTTCTCCTGCTGGCATGGCTTCCTTCAGGTCCTCCTGGACTATACTGGCTCCAGTTCAGCTGTCATTCCTCCTGCTTGTCCGAGACCTGAGGATGTGTTCATTTCAGGAAATAGGTGAGCGTTGTTATTCAGATTTCCAGACAGGAAGATTAGTAGATTGTTGTTTAAAGATTTCTTCAGATGTTGTTTAAAGCAGGGGTCTCCAACCTTGGCAACTTTAAGACTTGTGGACTTCAACTCCCAAAGCTGGCTGAGGAATTCTGGGAGTTGAAATCCACAAGTCTTAAAGTTGCCAAGGTTGGAGACCCCTGCTTTAAAGGCTGCCCACATTAATACCTGCCCCAAAGACATGTCCTTGCATGATCTTCTTCTTCATCATCATGTCCCTTTGAGGTTGCTTTCACCTCATCTCCAATTCTAGAAGTGTGGCACCTTCAGCCTTCTGTCCTTCTTGGCTATCTTGATTTTCACGTAGCATTTTCTCTCTTGTTCCCAACACCATTAGATACAGATTAAGAGAGTTGGAAGGGACTTTGTAGGTCATCTAGTCTAAACCTCCAGCCAAGAAGGAAGACCCTACACCATTTCTGACCGATGGCAATCCAGTCTCTTCTTGAAAGCTTCCAGTGATGAAGCTCCCACAACTTCTGAAGGGAACTTGTCTTCCATTGGTTGATGGTTCTCCCTGTTTCTCCTTATTTCCAGGTTGAATCTCTCCCTGATCAGTTTCCATCCATTATTCCTTGTCTGGCCTTCAGGTGCTTTGGAAAATAGCTTGACCCCCCCCCTCCTCTCTGGGGCAGCCTCTCAGATATTGGAAGATGCTATCCTGTCTCCCCTGGTCCTTCTCTTCATTAGATCAGCCCTGCCCAGTTCCTGCAACCGTTCTTCGTATGTTTTAGCCTCCAGTCCCCATTTAAGGCAACTTCCAGGGGAATGAAATTGGCTGAGAATTTTCCCTCTTATTCCTTTTGTGGGAAGTTACAGGATTTCAGGACAGAAAACACGAGACAAAGGAGTTAGGCTAGAAGCTGGCGAGATAATCAGTAAAATAAATACATAATAAATAAAAGATTAGAAGATGGCGCCACTAACGGCAACCTCAGTGAATGCTCTCAAATATGAGTCAAAAAGAGGGCTGTGAAAATACCTACAGACCCCTCATATCCTGGACATTAATTGTTTCAACCTCTACCCTCAAAACGATGCTCTAGGGCACTGCACACCAGAACAACTAGACACAAGAACAGTTTTTTCCCAAATGCCATCACTCTGCTAAACAAATAATTCCGTCAACACTGTCAAACTATTTACTAAGATTTCTTCTTCTTCTTCTTCTTCTTCTTCTTCTTCTTCTTCTTCTTCTTCTTCTTCTTCTTCTTCTTCTTCTTCTTCTTTTTCTCCTTCTCCTTCTCCTTCTCCTTCTCCTTCTCCTTCTTCTTCTTCTTCTTCTTCCATATCCGTCAACGGATGTTGTGCTATCATGTTGCCAATCCTATTTTTGTCACAGCCGCACGAAAAAGTGCTGTTGAGTTTTGTCCAAATTCAGTCCCTTAGGTTTTGAAGCCAAGAATTTCTTCTTCTGCTTGAACCTCATTTGCCTTCAATCTTTCCCTGGAGGATTAAGTGAAGGATGCCGTACTTTTTTGGGTGTTGCATCACATGTCTGAAATATTCTAACTTTAGTAAGATTGTATTACTATTAATATTATTAATATTAATACTATTAATATCTATTAATATTAATAATATAAAAATACTACTACTAATATCTCATCTTTTTTATTACCTACCTTCTTTTCTACTACTTATGACTATAACTTTGTTGCTTGTATCTTTACTATTTATATTGTTTTATTTAGTTTCCTAGTATGATATGATTGTTAAGTATCCTATGACTATCACTAAGTGTTCTATCTTATGATTTAATGTATTTTTAAAAAAAATTGATTTATATGCCGCCCTTCTCCGGAGACTCAGGGCGGCTTACAATGCGCTAAGCAATAGCCTTCATCCTTTTGTATATTTATACAAAGTCAGCTTATTGCCCCCACAAACTGGGTCCTCAATTTGCCTACCTTAGAAAGGATGGAAGGCTGAGTCAACCTTGAGCCTGGTGAGATTCGAACCTGCAGTAATTGCAGACAGCTTGATGTTAATAACAGTGCTTTAGTCTGCTGCACCACCAGGCTCATCATTTTTATGATGACTAAGGTCCTGATTTATCACTTATAACTTTTATGTACACTGAGAGCTTATGTGCCGAAGGCAAATTCCTTGTGTGTCCAAAAACATTTGGCCAATAAAATATTCTATTCTATTCTAAATTTTATGCCACGTTTTCTGCTAGCTCAGGAGTGGGAAGTGCTTTAAACAAATTGTGGGTTAGAGCTGACTCCCTCAAAGTCAGATGAACTGCTTTCTTCTGATGGACGAGCCACCTTTGTTGCAATATGTGGCCAAGGAGTGGTTAGCTCTGTTGCTTCACATCCGTCAGTCCTTTGAGGTCCGCTAGATTGGGGAACTGACAACACCAAAATACAGAAACTCAACTTTGCTGACCTAGGTTATAATAACAGAACCATGAAAGCGTTTTCCCATCTGTTCTTCTTATACCAAAGAGAATCAAAGGAGGGGATCTTGAGTTTCTTTCTCACCTGTTGTGTTTTCCAGGACGGAGTTCACATTTAGCCAGAGGTGAGTTTTCACATAATTTAACAACCGGTTCGCCCATGCGTGCTGCGCCAAAAACACAGTGATTGTATAGGATAAGATAGGATGAGATAGCTTTGCTCACGCATGTGCCATCTGCATGCATGTGGCGTCAAAAAACACAGCAATTGTTGTGGTCCGCCAGCAGCCTGTGGAGCTGGCAGTAGAGTCGGACAGCGATGAGGCTGAGGAAGAACATGGGCCAGTCCTGGAGGCTGGGGAAGGTCCAGATGAGGGGTCTGCGTCGGAGACAGAGATGGAGCCAGGGCCATCAGGAAGTGATGTACGGACTTCAGAGCCTCCAGAGGCTGACAGTAGAGAGGCAGAAGAACAGGAGGAGCCTGTTCCTAGTGCACATATGAGAAGAGTTGCCAGAAGGGAAGAGCAGCTAAAGCAAAAAGGACGACTCAGGAGTAAGGCCAAGAGATGATTGGCCCCTCCCATAAGGCTTAAAAGACCAGCAACGGCTCTTGGGCTCTTTGTCGGAAAACAACGTTGATAGATTTGTTTCTTGTCTTTCTGCATTTATTTCTTGTCGGCGTCTTCTGCTTTTGAACTTTTGCCAAGAAAAGCCTTTGGCAGCTTGCCTAATTATCCCAAGGTCGGTGATAAACTGAGGAATGGTGTTTTGAAGAATTTGCTTTAGTTCGGACTACGCTGAGAATGAGTTAATTCTCAGCTGTTCTAATAAAGTCTGTTTGTTTTCGAACTGTTTGTATTTAATACTAACTACTTGGGCCTGGGTCACAACAGCGATATAAGACGGGATTGTGCCCGAGCAGGCAGGTCGCAACTACGGTTCATCTGAAGTGGCTGAATCCCATCCCTGGTCCGTATAGGTCATTTCTCTGTAATCGGAGACAATTCTTCAGTGGGGACTCAAACTCATGCAGCATAACCAGTGGTGGGTTGCTACCAGTTCGCCACAGATCAGGCGAACCGGTAGCGGCAGCGGGAGACTCTGCCCACCGCCCGCATGTCTCTGTGCATATGTAAAAGTTTCTGTGTGCTCACGCGCCCATGAGCAAACCAGTAGCAACGGGGTTTGAAACCCACTACTGATAAGAACCCAATGTCTAAAACGATACAGCAATCATCATAAGGAGGAGCCAGTTCAGGTTAGTGGTGAAAGTGTAGTCGAAAAACCAGGAGACTGGGAGTTCTAGTCCCGCCTCAGGCATGAAAACCAGCCGGGTGACTTCGGGCTGATTACCAGGAGACTGGGAGTTCTAGTCCCACCTCAGGCATGAAAACCAGCTGGGTGACTTTGGGCTGATTACCAGGAGACTGGGAGTTCTAGTCCCGCCTTAGGCATGAAAACCAGCTGGGTGACTTCGGGCTGATTACCAGGAGACTGGGAGTTCTAGTCCCGCCTTAGGCATGAAAACCAGCTGGGTGACTTCGGGCTGATTACCAGGAGACCGGGCACCCTACTGCTTACTTCTCTCCGTGTAGACTTAGACCCATTAAGGGTTACTCATTGAGTACGGTTTGTCAGCCAGTCACAAATCCATCTGGTGGTGATGCTATCTATCCCACTTTTTTCTAGCTTACCAAGGAGTAGGTTGTGGTCTACTTTGTCAAATGCCTTGTTGAAGTCCAAGTATATTATAAGACTGACTCGCTTAACGACTGGTCACCACTTGACGTAGACCCATTAAGGACTACTTGTTGAGTACGGTTTGTCAGACAGTCGCAAATCCATCTGGTGGTAAAGCTATCTATCCACTTGATCTTTTTTTTTATTTTAAATTTTTTATTGAAAATTATTAAAAATTACAGAAAAAAAGTATAGCACTATGGATAGAATTGCAGAGAGTAATATAATACGTATAGAGTTTTAAAGTATCAATTTTTACCTAGAGATAGTACAAACCTCCATTAAACCAACACATCAAAAGAAAGAAAAGTTTATCCAGAAGAAAAAATTCTCAATTGTCATGCAATGCTCCTATAAATATTTACCCACGTTCACACTAAGGTTAATATTTTACATTCTTCTTAAGATTTCTTTTTTTTTTTTGCAGCCGAGCATACCATCTGTCCCAGCTCCTATATAACCCCGATTCTTGTCTATCTCGCAAAAGTCCAATAAGCTTGTCTGCTTCTGCACAGTTCATGATCTTTGTGGTTAACGTAGCCTCCGATGGAGTATTTTTGGATTTCCATTCTTGCGCAAACGAGATCCTGGCTGCAATGATGATGTGGAGAGCAAGATACCAATTAGAGTTGTTTAAATTCTCTGGTTTCATGCCTAGTAAAAACGTTTCCGGGTTCAATTCTATCCTACATCCTATGATTTCTAAAATCCATTTTTGAATTCTAGCCCAATATTCTTTTGCTCGGGGACAGGTCCACCAACTATGAAAGTAAGTTCCCATAGCGGCGTTGCATTTCCAACAAACCGGAGAGGTTCCCGGGAACATCTTCGATAATCTATCTGGAGGCAGGTGCCATCTATACAGCATTTTGTATATATTTTCCTTATAGGAAACTGACATTGTTAATTTTAAGGTTTCCCCCCAAATTTCTTCCCATTTTTCAAGTTCAATCGAATATCCCAAATTTGAGGGCGATCTGGCTGTGACATCTGTCACCCCATTGATCACCAGGGTTATCCACTTGATCTTGATTGAATCTCTCTGGTACTTGTGCTGAGTGTGCAGAAGAGAAAGTCTAGTGTTAACGTAAGATGGAGGCAGGCCCAGAAGTGGGGTTCAAATAATCCTGCCACGTATTGCTTTGCTCAAATGGTGGCCATTTTGGATCTCCAGAATAAACAGAAGCTATTTTCCATTTCAGGGGTTGGTGGTACCAGTCTAAGCACTGAACCTCAGAAACCCGAGTCCACCTTCGTGCAGGTCACAGGAGGCAGGACCCTCACTCTCAACTGTACCCTGACTCAGATGGATCTGCCAACAAGCGCAAGATGGTACAAAGAATCGAGCAACAACGTCTGGAAGTTAATTTACAAGGAGAGTGACCAAAATTCTCGCGGGGTGAGGCTCATTCCAGGATCAAGAACCGACTTCAGCATCAGCCTCAGCAATGTGGGCCCTAAGGATAATGGGACCTACCGCTGCCAAATGATCGATAAAGTTCTCCAACTGGGACAATCTAATATAAAGAAACAGGTTGCGGTCTACGTGAGAGGTAGGTGCCGTTCAGAGAGGGAGGGAGATCCGCTCTTGTCAACTGAAGCGTTGTGGAGCGAATCTGTTGGGAAACTGCCAGGATGGAAGGAGGGGTTGAGCAGGGAACTAGCTTGGCATCCTTACATAGTTGCAAGCAGCTGTTGTGGTCCATCAGCAGCTTGCGGAGCTGGCAGCGGAGTCGGACAGTGAGGAGGCTGGGGAGGAACATGGGCCAGTCCTGGAGGCTGGGGAAGGCCCGGATGAGGGCTCTGCGTCGGAGGCAGAAATGGGGCCAGGGCCATCGGGGAGTGATATGCGGACTCCGGAGCCCCCAGAGTCGGACAGCAGAGAGGCAGAGGAACAGGAGGAGCCTGTTCCTAGCGCACGCATGTGAAGAGCTGCCGGAAGGCAAGAGCAGCTAAAGCGAAAAGGACGACTCAGGAGTAAGGCCAGGAGATTATTGGCCCTTCCCATAAGGCTTAAAAGATCAGCAACGAGCCGTTGGGTTCTTTGTAGAAAAGCAATATTGATTCCCGTGCTTCTTGTCAGCGTCTCTTGAACTTTGTGGGGGTTTTGCCAAGAAAAGCCTTTGGCCGGTTGCCAAAGGCATCAAAGGTTGGAGATAAGGCCGACGGACTGGTTATGAAGAATTTTGTTTTGGACTAAGCTGAGAATGAAGGGGTGTCAAACTTCATTTCATTGAGGGCCGCATCAGGGTTGTGTTTGACCTCAGGGGGCCGGGGTGGGTGTGGCCAGGGTGGGCGTGGCCAGTTCGACGTCACTTGTGTCAGGGGCACCTGTGGTAGCCCAAATGCTCTGCCAGCAAAAACAAGCTCCGTTTTCAGCTGCAACGGCCTCCTGCAACCCTCTGCCAGTGAAAACGGAGCTCAGCAGGGCACCGTACGCCAATCCTTCACTGTTTCCAGCAGTGGTGGATTCCTCCCGGTTCCGTCTGGTTCCGCCGAGCCGGTAGCGGTGACTTCAAAGGGCTGCCCTACAGCTGATCAGTGTTAAAAGAAAACAAATGAGTAGACCGGTGCCTGCAAAAATACATGAGTAGACCATTGCCTGCAAAAATACATGGAGTAGATCAGTGCCTGCAAAAATACATGAGTAGACCATTGCCTGCAAAAATACATGAGTAACCATTGCCTGCAAAAATACATGAGTAGATCAGTGCCTGCAAAAATAAACGGGTAGATCGGTACAGCTCTGCAAGCAGTTAAAAGCCTGGTAGACCAGTACCTCTGCTAAATCCTAAATAATTGTCACATGACCATCAAGCCACACCCACAAAATAAGCCACGCCCACAGAACCGGTAGTAAAATTTTTAGAACCCACTCCTGGTTTCCAGGGTAGCCCCGGGGGCCAGATCTAAGCACCCCATGGGGTGGATCTGGCCCTCAGGCCTTGAGTTTGACACCCCTGCTTTATCTGAGAGAGAGTTTGGGCCGTCCATCAGCCCTCAGTTGGAGAGTCAACAGTCCCCAGGTCTACAGGTGGCTGATGAGGAAGAGGAGGAACAGCTGGGTCCAGTGCCTGACACACAAATGTGCAGAAGGTAGAGGAGAGGAGAGTGGAAAGCTATGGGCCAGTCCTTGGGACAGTAGAGCCACCACTGCTAGCGAAGCCCCATACAAGCTCTGGGGATAAAAGGCAGAGGGCGGAGATGAATAGATGTGGCAGACAACTATTCATCTCCCGACCAGATGGACTTGTTAGCCTGCGGTGAGAGAGAAACTTTTTGCTGGTGCTGCTGGTGCTTCTAATAACGGAATCTTTGAGATCACTTCCGAGGGTTTGTTGTGTTTGGGGAGCTGGGTCAGAACAGGTTCCTCATTTCTTTCTTTGTTCGTGGTGTTAAGTTTTGATTTTGGGCTTCCTGCAAACCAGGTTCTGGATTTTTCGTACAAGGGTTGTTTTCCCCCCATATCACAATCAGATACCAAACCCAGTTACCGTATTTTTCGGAGTATAAGACGCACCAGAGTATAAGACGCAGCTTAATTTTTGGGGAGGAAAATAGGGGGGGGGAAATCTGCTTAATAGGTATTCATCTGACTAGCCTCTTTAGTCTGGTCAGCTTCAGCACGTTAATTTGCTGGTTTTTTATCCCTTGCTTGGGGATAAAAAACAGCTTCTAAGGCACAGCTGAGAGGAAGCAGCAATGACAAAAGCAGGCAACGCACAGGGGGTGGGGGGAGATTGCTTCACTCACTAGCGCCTCGTTAGGGCTGAAAAAAAGCTTCTAAAGAACAGCTGAGAGTCGGAGCAAAGCATGGCAATTGCTTCACTCGCTAGCGCCTCGTTAGGGCTGAAAAAAAGCTTCTAAAGAACAGCTGAGAGTTGGAGCAAAGCATGGCAATTGCTTCACTCGCTAGTGACTAGTTAGGGCTGAAAAAAGCTTCTAAAGAACAGCTGAGAGTCGGAGCAAAGCATGGAAATCGCTTCACTCGCTAGTGACTAGTTAGGGCTGAAAAAAAGCTTCTAAAGAACAGCTGAGAGTCGGAGCAAAGCATGGGATTGCTTCACTCGCTAGTGACTAGTTAGGGCTGAAAAAAGCTTCTAAAGAACAGCTGAGAGTCGGAGCAAAGCATGGCAATTGCTTCACTCGCTAGTGACTAGTTAGGGCTGAAAAAAAGCTTCTAAAGAACAGCTGAGAGTCGGAGCAAAGCATGGCAATTGCTTCACTCTTAGCGCCTCATTAGGGCTGAAAAAAAGCTTCTAAAGAACAGCTGAGAGTCGGAGCAAAGCATGGCAATTGCTTCACTCTTAGCTCCTCGTTAGGGCTGAAAAAAGCTTCTAAAGAACAGCTGAGAGTCGGAGCAAAGATGGCAATTGCTTCACTTGCTAGCGCCTAGTTAGGGCTGAAAAAAAGCTTCTAAAAAAAGCTGAGAGTCGGAGCAAAGCATGGCAATTGCTTCACTCTAGCGCCTCGTTAGGGCTGAAAAAAAGCTTCTAAAGAACAGCTGAGAGTCAGAGCAAAGCATGGCAATTGCTTCACTCACTAGCGCCTCGTTAGGGCTGAAAAAAGCTTCTAAAGAACAGCTGAGAGTCAGAGCAAAGCATGGCAATTGCTTCACTCTCTAGCGCCTCGTTAGGGCTGAAAAAAAGCTTCTAAAGAACAGCTGAGAGTCGGAGCAAAGCATGGCAATTGCTTCACTCGCTAGTGACTAGTTAGGGCTGAAAAAAGCTTCTAAAGAACAGCTGAGAGTCGGAGCAAAGCATGGAAATCGCTTCACTCGCTAGTGACTAGTTAGGGCTGAAAAAAAGCTTCTAAAGAACAGCTGAGAGTCGGAGCAAAGCATGGGGATTGCTTCACTCGCTAGTGACTAGTTAGGGCTGAAAAAAGCTTCTAAAGAACAGCTGAGAGTCGGAGCAAAGCATGGAAATCGCTTCACTCGCTAGTGACTAGTTAGGGCTGAAAAAAAGCTTCTAAAGAACAGCTGAGAGTCGGAGCAAAGCATGGGGATTGCTTCACTCGCTAGTGACTAGTTAGGCTGAAAAAAAAGCTTCTAAAGAACAGCTGAGAGTCGGAGCAAAGCATGGCAATTGCTTCACTCTCTAGCGCCTCATTAGGGCTGAAAAAAAGCTTCTAAAGAACAGCTGAGAGTCGGAGCAAAGCATGGCAATTGCTTCACTCTCTAGCTCCTCGTTAGGGCTGAAAAAAAGCTTCTAAAGAACAGCTGAGAGTCGGAGCAAAGATGGCAATTGCTTCACTTGCTAGCGCCTAGTTAGGGCTGAAAAAAAGCTTCTAAAAAAACAGCTGAGAGTCGGGAGCAAAGCATGGCAATTGCTTCACTCTAGCGCCTCGTTAGGGCTGAAAAAAAGCTTCTAAAGAACAGCTGAGAGTCAGAGCAAAGCATGGCAATTGCTTCACTCGCTAGCGCCTCGTTAGGGCTGAAAAAAGCTTCTAAAGAACAGCTGAGAGTCAGAGCAAAGCATGGCAATTGCTTCACTCTCTAGCGCCTCGTTAGGGCTGAAAAAAAGCTTCTGAAGAACAGCTGAGAGTCGGAGCAAAGCATGGCAATTGCTTCACTCTCTAGCGCCTCGTTAGGGCTGAAAAAAAGCTTCTAAAGAACAGCTGAGAGTCGGAGCAAAGCATGGCAATTTCTTCACTCTCTAGCGCCTCGTTAGGGCTGAAAAAAAGCTTCTGAAGAACAGCTGAGAGTCGGAGCAAAGCATGGCAATTGCTTCACTCTCTAGTGCCTCGTTAGGGCTGAAAAAAAGCTTCTAAAGAACATCTGAGAGTCGGAGCAAAGCATGGCAATTTCTTCACTCTCTAGCGCCTCGTTAGGGCTGAAAAAAAGCTTCTAAAGAACAGCTGAGAGTCGGAGCAAAGCATGGCAATTGCTTCACTCTCTAGTGCCTCGTTAGGGCTGAAAAAAAGCTTCTAAAGAACAGCTGAGAGTCGGAGCAAAGCATGGCAATTGCTTCACTCTCTAGCGCCTCGTTAGGGCTGAAAAAAAGCTTCTAAAGAACAGCTGAGAGTCGGAGCAAAGCATGGCAATTGCTTCACTCTCTAGCACCTCGTTAGGGCTGAAAAAAAGCTTCTAAAGAACAGCTGAGAGTCGGAGCAAAGCATGGCAATTGCTTCACTCTCTAGCGCCTCGTTAGGGCTGAAAAAAAGCTTCTGAAGAACAGCTGAGAGTCGGAGCAAAGCATGGCAATTGCTTCACTCTCTAGTGCCGCGTTAGGGCTGAAAAAAAGCTTCTAAAGAACAGCTGAGAGTCGGAGCAAAGCATGGCAATTGCTTCACTTACTAGCACCTAGTTAGGGCTGAAAAAAAGCTTCTAAAGAACAGCTGAGAGTTGGAGCAAAGCATGGCAATTGCTTCACTTACTAGCGCCTCGTTAGGGCTGAAAAAAGCTTCTAAAGAACAGCTGAGAGTCGGAGCAAAGCATGGCAATTGCTTCACTCTCTAGTGCCTCGTTAGGGCTGAAAAAAAGCTTCTAAAGAACGCTGAGAGTCAGAGCAAAGCATGGCAATTGCTTCACTCTCTAGCGCCTCGTTAGGGCTGAAAAAAAGCTTCTAAAGAACAGCTGAGAGTCGGAGCAAAGCATGGCAATTGCTTCACTCTCTAGCGCCTCGTTAGGGCTGAAAAAAAGCTTCTGAAGAACAGCTGAGAGTCGGAGCAAAGCATGGCAATTGCTTCACTCTCTAGCGCCTCGTTAGGGCTGAAAAAAAGCTTCTAAAGAACAGCTGAGAGTCGGAGCAAAGCATGGCAATTGCTTCACTTGCTAGCGCCTAGTTAGGGCTGAAAAAAAGCTTCTAAAGAACAGCTGAGAGTCGGAGCAAAGCATGGCAATTGCTTCACTCTCTAGTGCCTCGTTAGGGCTGAAAAAAAGCTTCTAAAGAACAGCTGAGAGTCGGAGCAAAGCATGGCAATTGCTTCACTCTCTAGCGCCTCGTTAGGGCTGAAAAAAGCTTCTAAAGAACAGCTGAGAGTCGGAGCAAAGCATGGCAATTGCTTCACTCTCTAGTGCCTCGTTAGGGCTGAAAAAAAGCTTCTGAAGAACAGCTGAGAGTCGGAGCAAAGCATGGCAATTGCTTGACTCTCTAGTGCCTAGTTAGGGCTGAAAAAAAGCTTCTAAAGAACAGCTGAAGTCGGAGCAAAGCATGGCAATTGCTTCACTCTCTAGTGCCTCGTTAAAGCACAGCGGAGACTCGAGGGAGCAGGCAAAGCTGGGAAGATCGCTAGTGCTTCGTTAGCGGCTCGTTAGGGCTGGAAAAAAAAAAGCTTTGAAAAAGCTACATTCGGAGTACGAGACGCACCCAAATTTTCAGCCTCTTTTAGGAGGGGGGAAAGGTGCGTCTTATACTCTGAAAAATACGGTAGTCTTCCAGCCGCATCTGAGTGCAGGAACCATGAATCCCGACCTCTTTTGACTGACCATCTTTGCCTTTCTTTGCTCAGTTCCTCCCACGGTGAGTCTTGAGACCAATCCGCCTTCTCCCGTCCAGCTGAACGCCTCGGTGACGGTCACTTGCAAAGCAGAATATTTTTATCCAAACGTAGCCAAAGTGGACTTGTTTTGCAAGAATCCCAGCGGTAAAGGAAAGTCTACCGGGGCAACTTTTAATTCAAACAGGACGTACTCCCGCCAGAGCTCCCTGAAGATCACGGCCACCAATAATTGGAACTCCTCGCTGTTCACTTGTCTGGTTAAACATAACTCGACAGTATTTAAGGCTACAGCAAGTCTGGTTATTACGACAGAACTGGGAGAAGGTAAGTGTGTTTGTGTCGGAGGGGGGAGGGGATTTTGTGAGTTTTTCTTCCATTTTCTCCTTCCCCGTCTCAGTCCAGGTTGAGTCTAAATTGTGTGCTGTCGGCCGCCGGCCCCTCCAGCAGGTCCTCATTTTACCAACCTCGGAAGGACGGAAGGCTGAGTTAACCTTCAGCCTGGTGAGATTTGAACTGACAAATTGCAGGCAGCCGGCAGGCAGCAGAAGTAGCCTGCAGTACTGCACTCTAACCACTGCGCCACCGTGGCTCTTACAGATGATGACGACAACATCTTTGGGATCGTTGTTTTCCTGAAGATGTTTCATGACCCAACTAGATGGCATCATCAGTGCAAGAAGGGAGTGAGATTTGTGGAATGGAGGAGGAGATGAAAGGGAGTGTTGTGGCCTGTTGGCCACTGGCCACTCCAGCAACCGAATCAGAGGAGGAGGAGCCTGGGCTGTCTATCAGCCTTCAGAGGGAGTGTCAACAACCCCCAGGTGTGGAGGTGGCTGATGAGGAAGAGGAGGAACAGCTGGGTCCAGTGCCTGATGCGTGGATGCACAGAAGGCAGAGGAGAGGAGAGCAGTGGAAATCTATGGGTTGGTCCTTGGGACGGAAGAGCCACCGCTGCTAGCGAAGCCCCACCCTAGCTCTGGGGATAAAAGGCAGGGGGAGGAGATGAATAAATGTGGCAGACAACTATTTAACTTCTGGACAGACGGACGGACGGACTTGTTAGCCTGCAGTGAGAGAGAAACTTTTTGCCGGGGCTGCCGGCGCTCCTAATTAAAGGAATCGTTGAGTTCACTTCAGACGGTTTGTCGTGTTTGGAGAGCTGGGTTAGAACATCATGGTTGACTTGTGCGCACAGTTAATGCAGGTAGTCCTCGACTTACAACAGTTCATTTAGTGACCATTCAAAGTTGCGACGGCACTGAAAAAACTGGCGTGGAATGGTTTTTCAGAGTTACGAACTTCGCAGCATCCCCATAATCGTGCGATCAAAATTCAGATACTTGTCAATCCTCTTTTGTGACCTTATGACGAGTCAAGTCAATGGAGAATACAGAAGAACAGAGTTGGAAGGGACCTTGTAGGTCATCTAGTCCACCCCCACCCCTGCCGACCAAGGAGGAGACACTACACCATTTGTGACAGACAGCTGTCTGGAGAATCCAGAGAAAACAGATTCCCTTAACTGACTTATCTGCTGTGATGATTCATTTAACAACGGTGACAAGAAAAGTCGTAAAATGGGGCATAACTCACCTAACAACTGAAATGTTGGGCTCCATTGTGGTCATAAGTTGAGGTCTACCTGTACAGTTGAGCCCAAAATTTCTGTTGCTAAATGAAGTCAGTTGTTCAGTTCATTTCTCCCTATTTTACGACCTTGCTTGCCACCGTTGTTAAGTGAGTAACCCGGTTAAGTGAATATGTCTTCCCCATTCACTTTGCTCGTCAGGTCAACGAAAGAGGATCACAGGACTTTGCGATACAGCAACGGTCATAAATATGAGTCGAGTTGCCAAAGAGCTTGGATTTGGATCCCGTGACTACGAGGATGCTATCACGGTCATAAGTGTGAAAAATAAGTCCCTTTTTTCAGTGTCATTGCAACTTTGGACCGCCACTAATTGAACCGTTGTAAGTTGAGGACTACCTGTAATGGAGTTAAGTTATATTGCTTTCAGGCAGTGATGTCCTACCTTGCCAACTTTTAAGACTTGTGGACTTCAACTCCCAGAATTCCCCCAACCAGCATCCATTTTATCTGGCTGGGGAATTCTGGGAATTGAAGTCCACAATATTTTAAAGCCGCCGGGGTTGAGAAAGCACTGATCAAAAGCCATTTTGGACTCGTGTCAGAATCATAAATATGAAAGGGTTTAAATCTTGAAGGCTATTTGCGGTCCGGAAAGCCACAGAACACACGTGCCAGAAGTGGCATGCAGAGTCCTCTCTGTGGGCAACCCGAGCCATCGCTCCAGCTCCGCTCCACCGCACATGCGTGCACACCTCCCGCCAGCCAGCTGGTCTTTGGGTCTCTGCCGTGCATGCATGGGGGGCAGGGCTCATGCGGGGGCCATGCAGGCATGCGCAAAAGCGGGACGCATGTGTGGGGCCATGCACACATACGTGGGGGTGGGCCGCATGTGTGGGGGGGCAGGGTACATGTGAGGAGTTGCATGCACAGTGCAGGGCCATGCGCGCAATGCATTTTGGGGGTTTGCGCATGTATGCATGCATTCGTGTGTACGCTTTGGGCACTCGGTCGATCCCTGCATGAATCAGTTTGGTCTTTGATGGAGAAGCTAACCATTCTCCCAGAGCGAAATTCTTGGTTCCAACATTAAATTGCATTTTCTTCTGTGTTTTTCTTTTCTTTTCTTATCTGAGACCGGTCCCCACTTTTATGGCAGGGAGACGAGCGGTTTAAAAATGTGACCAATCTATATAAATAAAAATGTAAATGCTCGTTTCTTCAAAATCGTAAATCTCCAAAAGTTCTTCACCGATTTATTTATTTATTTATTTATTTATTTATTTATTTGTTCTTATTTCTATACCGTCCTTCTCCAAATAGGACTCAGGGCAGTGAACAGCCAAAGTAAAAAACAATACATACAAAATTTAAAAGCAGTTTAAAATAATTAAATATTTTGGCCGTAAATTAAAACAACCCAATTTAAAATCAATCTAAAATTTAACTCAAGCCAGCCCAGCTAGTTGAAATAAATGGGTTTTCAGGGCCCGACGAAAAATCCGGAGGTCTGTTATTGTACGTATCTCTGGGGGAAGGTTGTTCCAGAGGGTGAGCGCCGCCACAGAGAAGGCTCTCCCCCTGGGGGTCGCCAGCCGACATTGTCTGGCGGATGGCACCCTGAGGAGGCCCGCTCTGTGTGAGCATACTGGCCGGTGGGAGGCTATTGGTGGCAGAAGGCGGTCTCGTAAGTACCCCGGCCCTAAGCCATGGAGCGCTTTAAAGGTGGTCACCAACACCTTGAAGCGCACCCGGAAGACCACCGGGAGCCAGTGCAGCTCGCGCAGGAGAGGTGTTACATGGGAGCGCCTCGTCGCCCCCATAATCCCCCGCGCGGCCGCGTTCTGGACCAGCTGGAGCCTCCGGGTGCACCCCAGGGGGAGCCCCATGTAGAGAGATTGCTTTGAAATTTGGACACAACGTTGCATTCGAATACGCGCTGTGTTTTTATATACCTATATTATATAGATGTCACACCTGTGACAGGTAAAAACATGCTTTTTTGAAAAACAGCGCCATCTGTTGGACGTAAAAGCAACACACGCTATACTCTCTTTTTGGACTTTAACGTCGCAGCACCACAATGGCAGGCGTGAGCCGGGTCTTTTCCTCTCAGCGCCGTCGCCGCCACAAGCAAACCCACAAGCAAAATGGCGGGAAATGTCAACCGCCGCAAAGCGTCCTCCCGACTAACGGAGTATGCCGTACCTTTGGCAGGGACCCCGATGCCGCCTGTGGTGCGGAGAGCTGCGAAGGTGAAGGCGGTTATACCGGCAAGCTGGGAAACCAGCTATCAACTTGCAAAGTTTTCAAGTTGCCATGAGCAAGAGGGAGGGAGAACTGATAGAGCTGATTGATTTGTCTGTGAAGTTTCCGAAAGATGCCCTAATTAATTCATGAGCCATGAGCCGAACTTCAAAAGAAATACAGTCATTTATTAGGAGCACCATTTCGGCAATATTCGGATGCAGTTAGAACTAATCCCACGTAGATTTACGTTCCCCTATGACCCTGTCTCTCCCCTCCTCTCTGGCCATGTCATAAATCACATTCTCCAATTAACCACTTTGGCTGGCTGTGAAATCCAACACCCTCCTTCTGATTGCGGTCAGGAAGAATGTATGGAATGCAGCTTCAGTTAGGGAAATCAATCAGCTCTATCAGTTCTCCCTCCCTCCTGCTCATGGCAACTTGAAAGCTTTGCAAGTTGACACCAGCTCTTACACCCGCGGCAAATTGGGACGGAGGCAAAGTAGGCGTGACCTGAGCTACAGAGGGACATTATTGGCACTCGGTCAAAAAATATTGTATACCCAAAAATTCTTCACTTTACGACATCCATACCACATGTGTTCATATGTCCCATTCTCCACTTTACATCTCCAACATAACTTGCTGTGAAGAATTTTTGGTTACGAATAGAAGAAGAATCTAGTAAAATAATTAAAAAGGAGGTAAAGTTGGGAGTAGATACCATCCTCATACTAAAGTTGAATGACAAGGTGTTAACAATTGATGAAAGAGAGCTTGTAAGGATATTGGTCATTATGGGACGAATTGTGATTGCAAGATACTGGAAATCGAATATTGAATACAAAATAAATGAATGGTTCAGAGAAATTTGGAAAATTGCTCTTAATGATAAGTTAACGTGTGATATAAAATTCAAAAAAGGACTATTGAAAGAAAATATGTTTTGGAGGATATGGCAACCATTTGTGGACTACGCAATCGGGAATTTGGAAGAAATAATGCCAGTGCCAAGGCAAAGAGAATTTTGGAAGACCTGAAAATGAAGAAAAAATTCCTCCGCTTCTCCCTATTTTGTATTATACACTGGGTGTCGTTTTGTGTTTTGTTCTTAAATCAAAAACTTAATAAAAAAAATTTTTTTAAAAAATATTGTATACCCACAAGACTGAGCCACAGCAACCTGTGGCCGGGTACAGCTAGTAATAAATAAAGTAATAAATTATTTATCTATAAATAATTATTTATTTATAAATAAATAAAAGGAAAGGTTTATTTCACCGTGGAAAACAAGAGGACAACTTTTAACTGCATTGTTTGTTCCCTAAATAATCAAGGGGGTTTTCCCGCTGCTCGAGTAGTACGCAATTTTTTGGAAAACATGCCGTTTCAGCTGCATTACTTCCTCAAAAATTGTTTAGAAATTTTCTTTCTGGGATGTTGGTTGCAATCAACGACTTCTGCTATCCGTTTATTCAGACCGGCGAGGCTGGAATTTTGTTCTGTCGTTTTATTAAATTTTGTTGAGATATATATATATATTTTTAAAGGACACTTTGGATCTTGCAGGGATTCCTTAAAACTCAAAAATACACTGGTGGACACTTATCATCCGAGCTTCAGGCTTTCATAAATGAGATTTTGAGATTTAAGAGTAAACAATAAGTGGCCAGGCTCAGAATTTAAGATTTATTGATAATAGTAAAGAAAATAAAAATCAGTCATGAATGCTGTAATGTTGGAAAAAAAAATGATGGTTGACTTTGGGCCAATCATCAGAAGGCTGTGAGTTCTAGTCCTGCCTTAGGCATGAAACTCAATTGGGTGACTGAGCCAATCACCAGGAGGCTGTGAGTTCTAGTCCCACCTTAAGCATGAAAGCTAGTTGGGCCAATCATCAGAAGGCTGTGAGTTCTAGTCCTGCCTTAGGCATGAAAGTCAGCTGGATGACCTTGAGCCAATCACCAGGGGGTAGACTTCTAGTTCCATCTTAGGCATTAAACTCAGTTGGGTGACTTTGGGCCAATCACCAGGAGATTGTGAGTTCTAGTCCCACCTTAAGCATGAAAGCTAGTTGGGTGACTTTGGGCCAATCACTAGGTGACCGTGAGTTCTAGTCCCACCTTAGGCATGAAAGCTAGTTGGGTGACTTTGGGCCAATCACCAGGAGACCGTGAGTTCTAGTCCCACCTTAGGCATGAAAGCTAGTTGGGTGACTTTGGGCCCATCACCAGGAGACGTCGAGTTCTAGTTCTGCCTTAGGCATGAAAGCCAACTGGGTGACTTTGGGCCCATCACCAGGAGACGTCGAGTTCTAGTTTTGTTTTAGGCATGAAAGATGGCTGGGTGACTTTGGGCCAATCACCAGGAGACGGTGAGTTCTAGTCCATGTTAGGCATGAAAGCTAGTTGGGTGACTTTGGGCCAATCACCAGGAGACGGTGAGTTCTAGTCCATGTTAGGCATGAAAGCTAGTTGGGTGACTTTGGGCCAATCACCAGGAGACGGTGAGTTCTAGTCCATGTTAGGCATGAAAGCTAGTTGGGTGACTTTGGGCCAATCACCAGGAGACGGTGAGTTCCTACTCCCACCTTAAGCATGATGGGTGACTTTGGGCCAATCACCAGGAGACGGTGAGTTCTAGTCCCACCGTAAGCATGAAAGCTGGGTGACTTTGGGCTAGTCATTGTCCAGACTTTGAATCACTAGGAGATGGGGAATTGTAGTCCATTTTAGCAATGAAAGGTGGGCTGAGTAACTGGGCTAATCATTCTCTTTCAGTGCAATCCATCCTAAGGGTTTTTGTTATGGGGAAAATAGGAGGAAGGAGTATTAGGTATGTTCACCGCCTTGAGTTGCTTATAAATAAATACAGGCAGGATAACAATCCAGTAAATGAATAATATTGGATACTATTTGGAAGAAATCTGACCAACAAGCTGTGAGTGGAAACATTTATTTATTACAGAAATGCAGACCGGGTGAGCAAAAGGTGTGTGGAAACCAGATTTTTGCCACGGGCGTGTGCAAACAATTGTGTGTCGTTTTCCCATTACTCAAGACTTGAAGCCAGTATTAAGATAAACTTGTATAATGAAATGAAGAGTGTGGATCTGTTAATTCATCTAAGATCCAGGCATTGGGGAAAAAAGAAGTGAAATATTGCAAGCTGTACGGAAATGGTGAAGGACCAGAGCCGTGATGACACGCGGAGCCTTATCTGTGGGCACACGAATGTTGCCCTAGCTCAGCTCCAGCACGCCAGCCAATTTTCGGGCCTTCTGGCCCACCGGAAGTCGGGAAACGGGCCGTTTCTGGCTTCTGGGAGGGTGGGGAAGGCTGTTTTTGCCCTCCCCAGATTCCAAGAAAGGCTCTGGAGCCTGGGGAGGGTGAAAAACGGGCCTTCTGGTAAACTTTTTGCCGGTGTGCCAAAAGCGGGGGTGAGGCAGGGGGCGGTCACTCACATATGCACAGAGGGGCATTGAATTTATAGGTGTGGGCATGCGCACGACCCCCCCGCACTCCCCCCGCTTTTGGCATGTGACGGCAAAAAGGTTAGCCATCACTGGACTAGAGGGAGGAAATGTGTTTCAAAATACAATATTTTTGTTTCCAATCAAGAGAGGAAGCTGTTCAGTGTGTCCTTCCAGCTTTATTACAAATAAATCAAAATGATCCACTGTCTTTCCCCAACAGGCTCACTGCAACAATCCATGATGGGTCTCTATTTGGGCCTTTTCCTGAACAAAATAGGTCTGGTTCTTTTCTCTTTTTTTAATTGAATATTTATTCATTCATTCATTCATTCATTCATTCATTCATTCAAACTTCTATACCGCCCTTCTCCTTTCGGACTCAGGGCGGTGAACAGCCAAGATAAAAAACATTTATACATAAAGTTAAAAATAGATTTAAAATAATTAAATAAATTTGGCCTGTAATTTAAAACTTATCAATTTAAAAATCCTTATCAAATTTTAAAACCAACCATAAAATCAGGACAGACCGGCTAACTGAAAAAAAATAAGTTTTTAGGGCCCGACAAAAAGTCCGGAGGTCGGAGATCACTCGTATCTCTAGGGGTAGATTGTTCCAAAGGGTAGGTGCCACCATAGAGAAGGCTCTCCTCCTGGGGGTCGCCAGCCGACATTTGTTGTTTGTATTAAAAAATACAAACAGAATAAAACAAGTAACAACAAAACATACAGAACATGTAAACAAAAATTCAAATATACATCTTATCAAAGTTGTTGCAACTGTAATCTATGTTCTTATTTGTGCTTTCGAATCCTCGTTTTGGTCTTTCTCTTATATCTCTCTTTGTAATTCAGTTAACTTGCATTAATGGTTTATGTTCCTATTTCTATATCAGGTCACACCAATTAGTTCCTAGCCTTTTTTTCTTCCTTTTCTGCCTTCCACCCAAGTGTACCACTTTTCCCGTACTAAATAGTAGTCATGTTCCTCTTTATCTTGTAATTCCTTTGTGAGTCTGTCCATTTCTGCACATTCCATGATTTTACTAATTACTCTATCTTCTGTTGGTATGTCGTTACTCTTCCAATTTTGTGCAAAAATTATTCGTGCTGCTGTTATTATATGAATGATTGAATATTTTATTTCCTTTTCGTATTGTCCATTTATTATGCCTAGTAGAAAGGTTTCTGGCCTCATTTCTATTCTTTGTTTTGCAATTTCTTCTATTTGTCTTCTAATCATTTGCCAGTATTGTTTTGCCTTTGGGCAGGTCCACCACATGTGATAATAGGTTCCTTTGTGAAGTTTACATTTCCAGCATGTTGGGGAAGTATTGGGGAACATTCTTGCCAATCTGGCCGGTGGAAGATGCCACCTATAAAATATTTTGTACAGACTTTCTTTATAGGGTACAGACATTGTTAATTTATAATTTATTATCCATAATTTTTCCCATTTGTCTAATTCAATATTATAGCCAAAATTCTTTGCCCAGATGTTTTCTTTAACCACCTCTTCCTCTAATTTATATCCTCGTAAATAATTATAATTTTTTTTTATCAATTTGTCCTGTGATCCTTGTAAAATTTTATCCAATTCATATTGGCAGGTCTCGTTCTTTTCTTCGTGAGTCTTTTCAAAATAAAAACGCGTGGATGTTGCATTCCGAGACGTTTTGCCCAGTCTTCCCAAGGCTGAAATTCTGATTTAATAACTTATTCCCGACGACATTCTGGATGAGAGAAGATCTGCCAGGAAATCAATAAGAATTCTATTATTATTATTTTTTTAAATGTACAATGCTTCGTTCTGTAACCATCCATATCGTTTACACATGAATAAAATGAATAAAACTAAGAGAGAGCGAGAGAAAATCAACTTCCCATTCTTCAGTCACGCCCGGGATTCCAAAATTAAATGAACCCATCTTAAAATATTTAAATACTTTAAAAAAACAAGTTGAATTATAGGTAGTCCTCGATTTACAGCAGCTCATTTAGTGACAGTTCAAAGTTACAACGTCACTGCAAAAAGTGAATTACGACCGTTTTTCATACTTACAGCCATTGAAGCAATCCCCATGGTCATGTGATCAAAATCCAGATAATTGGCAATTGACTTGTGTTTATGATGATTGCCGGGGTCCTGGGACCACGCGACCCCCTTTTGCGACCTTCGGACAAGCAAAGTCAACGGGGAATCCAGATTCACCTAACAACCGTGTGACTAACAGCTGCAGTGATTCGCTTAACGACTGTGGCAAAGAAAGGTCTTGTGGCAGTAGCAGGGGAAGGATACTGCAAAATCTCCATTCCCTCCCCACTCCAGGGGAAGGATACTGCAAAATCTCCATTCCCCCTCCCACTCCAGGGGAAGGATACTGCAAAATCTCCATTCCCTCCCCACTCCAGGGGAAGGATACTGCAAAACCTCCATTCCCTCCCCACTCCAGGGGAAGGATACTGCAAAATCTCCATTCCCGCCCCACTCCAGGGGAAGGATACTGCAAAATCTCCATTCCCACCCCACTCCAAGGGAAGGATACTGCAAAAACTCCATTCCCACTCCAGGGGAAGGATACTGCAAAATCTCCATTCCCTCCCCACTCCAGGGGAAGGATACTGCAAAATCCCCATTTCCTCCCAATCAGCTGGGACTCGGGAGGCAGAGAGTAGATGGAGGCGGGGCCAGTCAGAGGTGGTATTTACCGGTTCTCCGAACTACTCAAAATTTCCGCTACCGGTTCTCCAGAACTGGTCAGAACCTGCTGAAACCTACCTCTGGTCCAGACCTTATACATGTCTGTAGCATATTTTTATCCCCGGGTCCAAGTACGTGAACCAGGGGCCCATGAACCACAGCTCTGATGTGGCAGCCGCAGGGCCAGTTCCTACCACGGAGCAGGCAGGGACCGAATTTGACATGGCTGCACTTGGAGGCACCAGTTAAAAGAGAAAAGGAAGCGCTTCCTGTGACAATTTTAACCTGGAAGCTGGAGCTTCAGAGAGTAGAGCCCATATTTAGTTTTACATATATTGATAGCAGCAAGGATTATATTTGCTAAATACCGGAAAAATGAGAAAACCCCACCAGATGAGGAAGTAATTCAAAGAAATTTAGACTGTGCTGAAATGATGGACAGGCTAACTTTAAAAATAAAAGAGAAGGAAGACACAGAATATTACTTGATATGGAATAGATTTTATGAGTGGTTAGAGACAAGAGGTAGGAATTAGAGGAAGAAAAGACTACGAATGTTTGTATTAACGATAGAGAAGATGTATGACTACAATCATAATTAACAAAAATGTAAATAAGCCAATATAAAAAGAAACTTAGTTAACATTAGTTGGCTATATTATTACTATTATTCTCAGTACATGTGTTGTACTATTATTACTGTTACTACTTCATGCATTCAGGATCTCCGCTCTTTCCGTCGGGACTTGAAGACTTGGCTTTTCAAACAAATAGGCTGAGACTGATTCCGGGCTTTATTATTTACTACTAATTATTTATTTGGATTAAATTATGATTTTATTGTACTTGTTTCTTAACTTGTGTTCGCCGCCCTGAGTCCTTCGGGAGAATGGCGGCATATAAATACATGTAATAAATAAATAAATAAATGTGTTAACATTTATTACTATTTTCTATTTGGCCTTTTTTTTCTCTGGTTTTCGCGGGTGTTTGTATGTAGGTCTTTGGTTATTCGGGTCTTCTCCCACGTAAAATTGGAAGTGTCTTGGCAACGTTTCGACGAAGTCTCATTCGTCATCTTCAGGCTGGTGTTCTCGGCTTCGTGCTTCCAGGAGCAATGTGAGATCGCAGCTGTCTCTTCCTTTTAACTGCTAGAGAACACCGAGAAAGCCGAGAACACCAGCCTGAAGATGACGAATGAGACTTCGTCGAACAGTAATATTTATGCATGTAGATAGGCAGTCCTCAAGTTAACAGTTCATTTAGTGACCGTTCCAAGTTACAACAGCACAGAAAAAACTTATTATGATCGCGTTTCACTCTTATCAACTCAATTTCTCATCTAAGAACAGAAATTTTGGGTGCAATCGTGGTCATCATAAATACGAGTCAGTTGGCAAGTGTCTGAATTTTATTCACGTGACCAGGGGGGGTGCTGAAAACGGTCGTTAAGCGTGAAAAATGGTCATAAGCCACTTTTTTCAGAGCCGTCGTAATTTCAAACGGTCACTAAAGAACCATTGTAAGTCGAGGACCACCTGTAACCATACAGGAGATTGTTCCAAAGCAAAGCTTTCCTTGTTTCCTTGCTACTCACCTCTGCAAAGATTAAAGGGGAGCCATGCAGTCATGTAACGGGCAGGACATCCGCCATCTTAATCTGAAATCTTCTAGGCCCGAGAGACCAAGGAGTGCCTTGTCCTGCTCCTCCGGTCCTTCTTCCATTGGCCCTAGCTCCGTCCCATCCTCGGACTCAGGCTCCAATGAGGGAACTAATTTGGGAATTTATCTGTACCCTCAGGGTACCTGAGCCAGAATGCAAATGGGTGTGTGTTTTGGGATTCCTGAAAGAAAAAAGCAGGGAAGAACCAAGTTAAGTCCAGTTGCTTTTTGAAAAAAAACATCTTTGGGATGACTTTCATGCAGACATTTCATTACCCAACTAGGTATCATCATCAGTGCTAGAAGGGAGTGGGGTTTGAACTGATGATGTTACCCAGTTGGGTTAAGAAACGTCTGCAAGAAAACCACCAAGCTCAAAGAGCATCAAGGACTCATTTCAACCCCGAGCTACAAATATTATCAATGCTTTCTCCTTGTTTGCATAATGCCACGCACACAGATACTGTTCTGCCCCAGCTATGGACCCCAAAGAACGTAGCACTTACAAACTCTATACAAAGCTTATTTTACTCAAATAACTCAGTCTTTATCAACCAAAGGCTGTTAATAAACTGTCTTAACAGCCTACCAGAATTCTAAGATAAGGTAATCGCAGTCTTACTAGAGTTGGCAGAAAGCCCAGAAGCAATTTGCAGAGAATCCAGACGCGAAGGAGAGTGAACTGAAGTTGTTCCCTACAACTTGCTTCAGTCGGCGTTCCTCCTTAAATAGGCTAAGGGAGTGGCCAATTAGCCCCAAGCCTTACTCTCGAGGAGACCTCCTCCTGAGGAGCCACTCCTGCCTTTTGGCCGCTCTGCGCACTTGTGCATTGAGAAGAGGCTCCTCCTCTTCTTCCTCTTCAGCTAAAGGAGCTTCTGGAGGTTCTGAAGGCCCTGGCTGAATCCCCGCCTCCGGCCACATCTTCTCCAGCCTCCTCACTGTCCGACTCGAGCGCCAGCTGCACAGGCTGCTGGCGCAGCACACCAGCCTCCTCGTTGTCAGAATCAGCTACAATCCGCACAGGCCGCTGACGGGCCACAACAGATACAGGTGTCTGCAGAAAAACTATCCCCAGAACCCACAAGGAATTCCGAGGCCCATGAACTACAGGTATTACTTTGGCAGCTGTTTGGACCATTGCCCACCACGAAAAGGTAGGCAATGAATTTGACACAACTGCAGAAACTTCTCCCGGACAAAGGAGCAGACATAGTTGAGGGAGCAGTGAGAAAACAGGCCAGGCTGGAAGAGAATTCTGATGCAAGAAAAACCCCTTGTTACAATTTGCTTAGCTCTCTGCCTTGGTTTGTATTGTGTTCTCGTCTTCAATCTCTGCCTCAAATAGGTCTGGAAGACAAGCATCTATTTAAGAACTTGCTCTGGCCGCATGTTAAAATGCTAGAAGATAAGCATTTAAAAAGCATGAGCCAGCCATGTGCAGCAGCTGCCAAAAAAGCCAACAGAGTTCTAGGCTGCATTAACAGAGGGATAGAATCAAGATCACATGAAATAGCAATAGCAATAGACTTAGAACCTCCCGGAGGTTCTGGCTCACGCCTCATCTGGGGACCTAGTGGCCGCCTGGGATAGGGCGGCTGCTGGAGCCCTGGATCGAGTCGTGCCTTTGCGGCCTCTGACCCGGCGCCGATCTCGCCTGGCTCCTTGGTTCACCGAGGAGTTGAGGGAGATGAAGCACCGGAAAAGACGCCTAGAGAGCTGTTGGAGGGCTAGTCTTTCTGAATCTGACCAAACACTGGTAAGATCTCATATTAGGAATTACCTAGTGGCGATAAAAGCAGCAAAGTGTTCTCATTTTGCCGCTCTTATTGCGTCATCAGATAATCGCCCGGCCGCCCTGTTTAGGGTGACCCGCTCCCTGCTCCACCAGGAAGCGCGGGAGGACCCCTTGGAGGGAAGAGCCGAGGATTTTGTTCAGTATCTGTATGACAAAATCACTCAGATTCGGGCAGGTCTGGACTCTGACGCGATAGATCCAGAGAGGGTGATGGAGACAGGTCTTGAGACTGTTATCTGGGATGAGTTTGATCCTGTGACCCCAGATGACGTGGACAGGATTCTGGGTAGATTGAATGCGACATGTTTGTTGGACCCGTGTCCCTCCTGGTTAGTGCTGGCTTCCCGGGAGGTGACGCGAGGCTGGCTCCAGGGGATTATAAATGCTTCGTTGGGTGAGGGTGTCTTCCCCGCCGCCCTGAAAGAGGCGGTGGTAAGGCCTCTCCTCAAGAAGCCTTCCCTGGACCCGGCAGTATTGGCTAACTATCGTCCAGTCTCCAACCTTTGCTTCGTTGCGAAGGTTGTTGAGAGTGTGGTTGCGCGACAGCTACTCCAGTACCTGGATGAAGCGTCGTATCTAGATCCGTTCCAGTTGGGCTTCAGACCTGAGTACAGCACGGAAACGGCATTGGTCGCGTTGGTTGATGATCTCTGGAGGGCTCGGGACAGGGGTTGTTCCTCTGTCCTGGTCCTGTTAGATCTCTCAGCGGCTTTTGATACCATCGACCATGATATCATGCTGCACCGGCTGGAAGGGTTGGGGGTGGGAGGCACAGTTTTACGGTGGTTCTCCTCCTTTCTCTCTGACCGGTCGCAGTCTGTGTTGACAGGGGGGCAGAGATCGACCCCGAGGCCCCTTATATGTGGGGTGCCGCAGGGATCGGTTCTCTCGCCCCTCCTGTTCAACATTTATGTAAAGCCGCTGGGCGAGATCATCCGTGGTTTCAGGGTGAAGTACCATCTGTACGCTGACGACACTCAGCTGTACATCTCCACCCCGGATCACCCCAACGATGCCCTTGAAGTGATGTCCCAGTGCCTGGAGGCCATACGGATCTGGATGGGGAGAAACGGGCTCAGGCTCAACCCATCCAAGACCGAGTGGCTGTGGTTTCCGACGTCCCGATATAGTCAGCTGGTGCCATCGCTGGCTATTGGGGGCGAATCATTGACCCCCACGGAAAGGGCTCGTAACTTGGGCGTCCTCCTGGATTCACGGCTGTCTTTAGAAGAGCACTTGACGGCCGTGACCGGGAGGATTTTTCATCAGGTTCGCCTGATTCGCCAGTTGCGTCCCTTTCTGGATCGGGACTCGTTACGCACAGTCACTCATGCCCTCGTCACCTCTCGTCTGGACTATTGTAATGCTCTCTACATGGGGCTCCCCTTGAGGTGCACCCGGAGGCTCCAACTGGCGCAGAGTGCGGCCGCGCGGGTGGTTATGGGAGCAACATGGAGCTCCCACGTAACACCTCTCCTGCGCGAGCTGCACTGGCTCCCGGTGGTCTTCCGGGTGCGCTTCAAGGTGCTGGTTACCACCTTTAAAGCACTCCATGGCTTAGGACCTGGTTATCTACGGGACCGCCTACTACCACCAACAGCCTCCCACCGACCAGTACGCTCCCACAGAGAAGGGCTCCTCCAGGTGCCGTCGGCCAAACAATGTCGGCTGTCGGCCCCTAGGGGGAGAGCCTTCTCTGTGGGGGCACCGACGATCTGGAATGAGCTCCCCCCAGAGATACGGAGGATCCCGGATCTGCGCACCTTCCGCCACGAGTTGAAGACGCTTTTATTTCATCAAGCTGGCCTCGCCTAAATCTTCTCCCTTTTAAATGTAAATTTTAAATTTTTAATGTATTTTAAAATTAGGGGTATTTTAAATTATGGGTATTAATTCAGCCAAATTTATTTAATTCATTTTTATTCGATTTTAAATTTTGTATATTTATGTTTTTTATTTCATGGCTGTACACCGCCCTGAGTCCTTCGGGAGTAGGGCGGTATAGAAATTCGATAAATAAATAAATAAATAAATAAATATATACCGCTTCACAGTGCTTTCACAGCACTCTCTAAGCAGTTTACAGAGTCAGCCTCTTGCACCCAACAATCTGGGTCCTCATTTTACCCACCTCGGAAGGACGGAAGGCTGAGTCGACCTTGAGCCAGTCGGTCAGGATTGAACTGCTGGCAGTGGGCATTCTAACCACTGGGAGGGAGGGAAGGAGGGAGGGAAGGAAGGAAGGAAGGAAGGAAGGAGGGAGGGAGGGAAGGAAGGAATGGAGGGAGGGAGGGAAGGAAGGAAGGAAGAGCACTTAGACTTATATACCGATTCACAGTGCTTTTATAGCCCTCTCTAAGCGGTTTACAGAGTCAGCATATTTCCCCCCAACAATCTGGGGTCCTCATTTTACCGACCTCGGAAAGACGGAAGGCTGAGTCAACCTTGAGCCTGGTGAGATTTGAACTGCCAAATTGCAGGCAGCCGGCAGTCAGAAGTAGCCTGCAGTACTGTACTCTCACCACTGCACCACCGTGGCTCATAATAATGAGAACTTTATAATGCCACACTTGGAATAATGGATCCAGTTTTGGTTGCCAGGATGTAAAAAAAAAAAGAGATGTGGAGACTCTAGAAAGGGTGCAGAGAAGAGCAATAAAGATGATTACGGGACTGGAGGCTAAAATATATTTATTTTATTTATTTATTTATTTTAAATTTATATACCGACCTTCTCCCTGAGGACTCAGGGCGGTGTAAATAACGGTTGCTGGAATTGGGGATGTCTAGTTTAATGAAAAGGAGGACTAGGGGAGAGCCTGAGTCCGAGGATGAGACAGAGCTAGGGCCAATGGAAGAACGACCGGAGGAGCAGGACGAGGCAGTCCCTGATCCCTCGGGCCTGGGAAGGATAGCCAGCGAGGGAGGGGGGTGCAGGAAGACCAGGCGAGGGGGGAGGGCAGGACAGGCAGCAGAGCAGAAGAGCAATTACCTCCCCCTCCCGAGCACGGAAAATAGAGAGGAGGAGGGATCAGCGCAGGGCAACCCAATGACTCGGGAAGACAGCGCCCCGCTCTCTTCATAAGGCTCACCTGGGGAATGAGCTTTAAAGAGACACTGTTGGGAGGGGCGTTTGTCGGGAACGAAGCGTGGCTTTTTGCAGCCTCACGTGCTGTTACCGACATCTGGATACTTTGCTGGCATTGTCTTCTTCGCCTTGTTTGCCATGCTGGCGTGGCTCCATGCGAGGTCACAGTGACACAGTTATACTCCGGATGGTGGGTGCAGTACCGGTGAATTCTTTCTGTGGCGAGGACGCCTTGGAAACAACTTCCCTGAACTGTGGCTGCTCTCAGAACTGAACTGCTCCTCTGGACTAATAACAGGCAGGAACTATTAAGAAATGCATCTTCAGAGCTTTTGCTCCGGGATCTGCAGTGAACGGTGGGATTTTTGGAGGAAAGTTGGAGCAATAAAGGGGAGTTCAGTCTTCGTTTCGGCTGTGTTGTTTCCGTGCCCAGTTACGGGTCATCGCATACCAAGGGTGACATCAGAGCAGTGTTCCGATATCTCAGGGGCTGCCCCAAAGAAGAGGGAGTCAAGCTGTTCTCCAAAGCACCTGAAGGCAGGACAAGAAGCAATGGGTGGAAATTAATCAAGGAGAGAAGCAACTTAGAACTAAGGAGAAATTTCCTGACAGTCAGAACAATTAGTCAGTGGAACAACTTGCCTCTAGAAGTTGTGAATGCTGCAACATTGGAAGTTTTTAAGATGATGTTGGATAACCATTTGTCTGAAGTGGTGTAGGGTGGGGGTTGGACTAGAAGACCTCTAAGGTCCCTTCCAACTCTGTTTTTCTATTCTAATTAATATACTGTGTGTGGGGGGGGGGAATACCATTCCACAATTCTGTGGCAGAAAAGTTGTGGGTAATATTAGTCTTATCCTAGATCTATGTCTCTATTTACTTCTCTGTCTGTCTGTCTGTCTGTCTGCCTGCCTGCCTGCCTGCCTGCCTATCTATCACATTTTGCATGTCATCTGTCAAGACTCTGTTTAAATGGGGCAGAGTATCCCTTCCACATCAGACACTGGATCACATAGTGAATAGCTGCCATTTGACAGCTTACACAGGAAGAAAAGCAGATTTTCTCCAACTAACAAATACCTCGCTTAATTGAATAAATGGCCCAGATATTAATAAATAGAATGCTTAATTGATTCTCATTAAAAGTACTACAAAACGTAGCAACACCACTAGTACTTAAGACATATATAGTGCCCCCCTAGTGTTTTATAGCACTTTCTGGACAGTTTACAAAGTAAGCCTATGGCCTCCCAAAATCTGGGTCCTCATTTTACCTATCTTGGAAGTTGAGCTAACCTTGCGCTGGTAAGGAGCGAACTGCTGGCAGTGAGCAGAATAAGTCTCAATATTGCATTCAGATAGATAGACGGATGGATGGATGGATGACAGAGACAGATAAATGGATGGATAGATGGGTAGGATAGGATGTAGGATAGAATAGGATATGGGATAGGATATAGCTGTGATGGCGAACCTGTGGCACGCGGAGCCATATCGGTGGGCACTCAAGCATTGCCCTAGTTCAGCTGCAGTGCACATGTGCATGCCAGCCAGCTGATTTTCAGGCCCACTGGAAATCAGGAAACAGGCTGTTTCTGGCCTCCGGAGGGCCTCTGGGGGTGGGGGTGGGGAAGGCCTGTTTTTCGCTCTCCCCAGGCTCCAGAGGCTTTCTAGGGGGTGAGGTGCATTGCATTATGGGTGTGGGCATACAAGCACGCGACTCCCCCTCACTCTCCCCCCCCCTGGCTTTTGGCACGAGATGGCAAAAAGGTTAGCTATCACTGGGCTATAGGAAGAGAGGTTAGGATACAGGATACCGATAGGATATATGAATAGAAAAGATAGATAAGATTGATAGATAGGATTGATAAGATTGATTAGATAGATACAGATAAATGGATGGATGGATAGATGATATAGATAGATGGGTAGGATACAGGAAAGGATATAGGATTAGGATAGAGATTATAGATAGGGAAATGGGTGGATAAATGGATAGATAAAATAGATTAGATAGGTAGATAGATAAGATAGAATAAGATATATAGATAAGATACATAGATATAGATAAATAAAATAGATAGAGATAAGATAGAGATAATAGATAAATAAGATAGAGATTAGATATAGATAGATGATTGATGATAAATTAGATATAGATAAAATATATAATAGATAAATAAAATAGAGAGATTAGATAGATAAATTATAAAGATAGAGATAAGATAGAGATAAGATGGATAGATAGAATAAATAAGATAGTGATTAGATATAGATAATTGATAGATGATAGAGAAATTATATGATATAGATAAGATATATATAAAATAAGATAGAGAGATTAGATACAGATAAATAAGAAAGATGATATAGATAAGATGGATAGACAGAATAGATAAATAAGATAGCGATTAGATATAGATAAATAAGATAGAAAGATGAAAGAGATAAGATGGATAGAACAGATAAATAAGATAGCGATTAGATATAGATAATTGATAGATGATAGAGAAATTAGTTGATAGATATAGATAAGATAGATATAATAGATAAATAAGATTAGACAGATAAGCTAAATAAGAAAGATGATATAGATGAGATAAGATGGATAGACAGAATAGATAAATAAGATAGCGATTAGATATAGATAAATAAAATAGAAAGATGATAGAGATAAAATGGAGATATAATAGATAAATAAGAGATTAGTTATAGATGATTGATAGAGAAATTAGCTGATAGAGATAGATAAGATAGATATGATAGATAGATAAGATAAATAAGATAGATATAATAGATTGATAGATGGAGGGAGGGGGAGAGAGAGAGAGAGGGGAGACATGGAGATACTGAAGATTCTTAACCGATGAGCCAAATTGGCTTAATCATTTTATATTCACATTTTATATGTATGTTATTTTATCTGTTCACCGCCCTGAGTCCTTTGGGAGAAGGGCGGTATAAAAATTAATTAAATAAATAAATAGATAGATAGATGGATGGATGGAGAGACCGACATAAATAGACAGAAACAGAGAGAGAGGACATAGATAACAATTGTCCTTAGACTTATATACCACTTTCCAGTCCTCTCTAAGTGGTTTAAAGCAGGGGGTTCCAACCTTGGCCACTTTAAGCCTGGTGGACTTCAACTCCCAGAATTCCCCAGCCAGCCTTGCTGCCTGGGGAATTCTGGGAGTTGAAGTCCTCCAGGCTTAAAGTGGCCAAGGTTGGAGACCCCTGGTTCACTGAGTCAGCCTATTTGCCCCCAACCATCTGGGGTCTGCGGGATGAAGTCGGTCCCCGCGTGAAGGACCCCAGAAACCCTGCCTCGTGGGCGACCCCGACCCAACCGGCGGCCCTGCCCTGTCCCCGCGCTTACTGGGGCCTCCCTCTGCCTTGTCTCCACCGTCGCTCCTCGACTCCCTCAGCCGCCATGATGCTCCTCCAGCCACGCGCTCTCCGCACGCTAAGAGCCGGAAACCGCCGTGACGTCATTTCCTCCTCCTCCTCCAACGGAAATCGTTTCGATTTCTCACACGGCCGATGAAAGGGAAGCGGCCGGAAATGCCCCCCCCGACGCCATCTTTGTTGAGGGAGCCATCCGTTTCCGACCGCCCGACGAAAGGCTTTTGTTTGCCAGGGAAAAAAAGAAGGGGAAAAAAAAAAAAGTCCATGAACGGAAGTCGCCTCTCCTCTCTATCCTTTTACCAGGAAGTGGCTCTGCTCTCTTGAAGGGGCTCGTTAACCTCCATCTTTGCCAGGATTCGATGAGAGAGAGATACGAGCCGCTCTTTCCCTTTTCGTATCTCTATGGTCTTTTCCATAGAAAAAGGGGCTCTGGATGGAACATAAAATTTGAATTTCCAACAATGCAAAGTTTCAGGGCCTTTCTTGGCTCTGAAGGAATGCCAGAAAGGGGCATTTTTTTAAAAAATGCAGAAAATGCCACGAAGGTAAGAGTTAGTCCTCGATTTAGGACCACAATGGAGCCCAAAATTCCCGTTGTTAAATGAGACGTGGGTTAAAGTGAGCTTTGTCCCATTTTACGACCTTGCTTGCCACCGTTGTTAAGCGAATCCCTGCCGGTTGATAAATTGTTAAAAGTGAATCTGGCTTCCCCATTCATTGACTTTTGCTTTGTTAGAAGATACAAAAGAGGGATCAATCATGTAACCCCAGGACACTGACCGTCGTAAATAGGGGTCAGTTGCCAAGCGTCTGAATTTTGATCACATGATCGCGGTGCAAAAGTTGGGACTTTGAAAAACGGTCCTAAGTCGCTTTTTTCTAGCGGCGTTGTAACTTTGAGCGGTCGCTAAGTGAATCAGTTCTAAGTCAAGGACTGCCTGTATTTCATGCAATACAGGGAGTCCTCGATTTACGAGCGTAATGGGAGGCCAGCATTTCCCTTGCCGAGCAAGGCAGTTGTTATGTGACTTTTGCCCCATTTTATGACCTTTCTTGCCATAGTCGTTAAGCGAATCACTGCAATTGTTAAAGTGAATCATGCAGTCGTTAAGCGAATCTGGCTTCCCGCATTGACTTTGCTTGTCAAAAGGTCGCAAAAGGGGATCACATGACCCCAGGGCAGTGGAACCGTCATAAATACGAGTCATTTTGCCCAGCGTCTGAATTTTGATTACGTGACCAGGGGGATGCTGCAAAGGTCGTAACTGAAGAACGGTCGTAAGTCACTTTTTTCACTGCCGTAACTTCGAACGGTCACTAAGCAAAACTGTTGTTAAGTCAAAGACTCTAAATATGTAATAAGCAAAATATGTACCAGCAACCAGCAAGGAAAAACGTCTAAAAGCAGCTTTTCAAGTCCTGGGAGTTAAAATCTATTTCCAAGGCTACATTTTTTTAAAAAAAGAATACCACCAACTCACCGGACTCTTTGTTTCAATGATTTTATTTTTAAAAAAATTAAAGACCTCCATGGCACAACTTCTCAGCACAATTAAGGGTTAGTTCCAATAGTGACACTACAACTCCATTCAGGTAAATCCAGAGAAAGAGAGAGAAAGAAAGAGAGAGAAAGAGAGAAGAGAAAAAAAACCAATCTAAATTTCAACAAAATAATAAAAAAAAGATCACTTCAAACAAGATCTTTCTTTTTAAAAAAAAATTCAAATTTGCAAACAGGACTATTTATACTGGCGTTTCCTTATTTTTTCTTCCTTTTCCTGCCATCTCGCACAATGCCAGCCCCCTCCCCGTTTCCCGAGAAAAAGGAGAATATATATATATATATATATATCCCCAGGAAGTGCTGAGTAATTTAAAAAAAGTGTTCTGATACGACGTATACAGATGAGGTAATTTACAACACAGACGTTGTTACAATCTGCAGGTTTTTGGGCTGCAAGGCCAGGATAAGCACCGGGAAGGAAGTTGAGAACGGTGTTTTTCTCGACTCCTGCCCCTTTAAGATGCGTGGACTTCCAACTTCCACCGGGGATTTCTGGGAGTTGGAAGTCCACACATCTTAAAAGGGGTCAAAATCGAGAAATACCCGGTTTACATCAACTCCTCGACCTCAATTATTTCCATCTTGGGTTAGCTTGGATGGATACTGCTCCCCTTGGTGGCTCCCCTACCCCCACCTTAAATCCTCATCAACTCGCACCCGGCACCCTTGATTCCTAGGAAGCACGCAACAAATCCCACCTGTTGCCCTGCATGCCAAATTCGAAGATCAAAAGAAGGAAAGCGAAGGGTTGAGTCGATCCCCAGCTCCAGAGGGGAGCTGGCCTAGTGCAAAATCTAGGCACACCTATGCTGCCTTTCCCAATTCCTCTCAGGCGCCACCGTGGGAAAATTTCCTGCCGGTGGGCATCTGGAAGTCCTTTCTCATCCGCCAAGAAGGTGGAGGGAGAGGGAACCGCCGAGGAGGATCTCGTGCTACCTGCTTTCCCGCCCTGGACGAACGCAAACATGCCCCCCCCCCAAATTCCAAGTTTCCAAAAGTTGCATATTATGAAACTCGAAGCCATCCCAAGATGGTTAGCAGGCCACGCGTAGCAATGCCCCCGCCCCCAACGAATAATTTTCCACGAAGGATCTGATGGGGCTTCCAAGGTTCCAGCAGCGAGCTACGGACCCCGTTGGTTCAGAAAGAGATGGGGAAGGGGTTTCCACCTTGCCCTTCGCCGTGGCCGTCCCGACATTCCGGTGCGGCAAGAGGAAAACGCAGGTTCTCCCAAACCCCGAAATCCGGCGACATTTTGGCTTGTGAGCACGCGTCTTGTAAGGCTTCCGAACACAGGGTCGTGGCGGTGGCCACCAAATCCTGGCGAGGTGCCGAAACGGGAATGGGGAGAACCAGTTTCGGGACACACACACACACATACACACCCCAAACACACACAGAGCCCAGCCTCCTGGTCCGAAGCCCCAATTCCGGGGGTTAAGAGGCTGCGCATAATGTAAAACGTATTGATACTGACCCAGGGAGAGCCTCCGCGCAGGCGACGTTAAGCCTAACCTTTGATAAATTAAAAAAAGAAAATAGTTTTTATTTACAGCCGGGAATTCCGACGTACGGTATTTCAGCATAAGGAAGAGCGAGACCGATTTACCTTACAGAGGCCTCTGCGTTTCGGCGAGGTTTGTGTGTAGTAGACAGACACACAATCACACAGGGAGTGGACACCGTCCTTCCCCAGGACGCTCCCTTACAAGCTGACCTCTTTTTGCGATGTTTTTCACACACGCTTTTTGTTTCCTCGAAAATTTTCTCTCCGCCAGCTTCCTCTAAGTATCACACATACACATACACATACACACCTTTCACCACATGGCACATGGAGAAAAAAAAATACGGGAGGGTAGGCAGGGCAAGCGAGCACCCCTAGATCTGTTCAGGGGGGAGGGGGGTTCTTTCCAAGATCTAACCTGTTAGAAGTTTGAGAAGGTTTTTTTTTAAAAAAAAAAAAAGGAAAAGGAAAGGAAAAACGGGTGAAAATTTGGATTTTTCCAGGAAAAACAGATGAAAAATTGGATTTTTCCAGGAAAAACAGGCAAAAAAATTGGATTTTTCCAGAAGTCCAAAAGACGTTACGGGGAGAGCTTGGCGGTGGGGCCGGATGTTATCTTTTTGGGGAGGTACGGATTGGATGGCGAGGCCTGGAGGCTTTGGATTAAGATGAGGAGAAGACAATCCCATGGGATAATGGACCGTTTTGTCCTTCCTTTTCTGCAAACTGAGTCCGTTCCGAGCCGCTGCAGGACACGGTCGATGTGGCTTCCGAGACGCCCCGTTGGGTCTCCCATTCTTACCGGCTTTCCAAGGCTGGAATTCAACAAGGGTGCGGTTGGGCAATGGAGACATTATGTTCCCCCTGCAAGGGGGGGGCAGGAGGGGAAAAGAGGCATCGGCGAGTCGTAACGACGAGAGAAACCGAGATGAGGAAGAACCGGCGTCCTCACTTTGGAGAGAGTCTTTGAGGAGGACCTGGGGACGGGGCGAGCGGGAACAGACGAGAAAGGGTCCGTGAAGCGCCCCGTGGGTAGATTTTTTTTTTTTTTTTGCCAGGGGTTCCTCTGAGTTACAAAACGTTCAAGTAAAAAAAAAAGGCAGGCCTGGGGGGGAATGGGGGAAGAGATTCGGCGTCAGACGATCCATCCATATCTCTCTCTCTATATATATATATATATCCAGAGGGGAGAGAAAGAGAGAGAGAGAGAGAGATACAAAGGGATGATGTGACAGAAGGACGATCAATCCACAAGCAACGGTTCCGAGATGGCTCCTCCTGTCTCTCTCTCTCTCTCTCTCTCTTTCCCCTCCTCCCCACGTTGGCTACAAGAGGCTGCGGAGGGGGGGTGTGAGTGGAGGAGGACCCTCAGCCCTATGGTGGCTCCAGTCCGGCGTCTGAGAGACGAGGGGGAGGGGGGTGTCCTTTATTGCTGAGCCCCTGCGGCAGCAGGTACTGGCATTCCCAGCGGGTTAGCAGCGGCAATCACGGGGGAGCCGGCTAGAGGTCCGAGGGGGGAAGACGTCGCCACTGAAGAAATTCCTGGGAAGGGGGGAGGGGGCAGAGAAAAGAACAAAATTAGTGACCCGGAGAGGGCAAATTCCCACCCACCCACCCGTCAAGTGAGAATGGCCTCTGGTGTGCTTGGTGCTCTCTGAGCTTGGTTGTTTTCTTGTAGATGTTTCATGACCCAACTAGGGAACATCATCAGTGCTGGAAGGGAGTGGGGATTGAGGAAGAGAGGGAGATGGAGATGGGGGTCTCTGGTGCTCTTTGGGCTTGGATGTTTCCTGGCAGAAATTTCATGAGCCAATTATTATTTATTTACCGTATTTTCCGAAGTATAAGACGCAGCTACCTTTTCTGGTGAGGAAAACAAGAAAAAGAAATCTGCCTCCCAGCAATTTTGCCTCTTTGCAGCAAACAGCCTGCTTTGCTTTCATTTTCGTTTTCAGCATAGCTTGATTAGCACAAGAGAAAAAAAATCTGCTGCAGCAATTTGCCTCTTTGCAGCAAGCAGCAGAGCCCTGCGCAAAACAGCTGAGAGCAAATCAGCTGAGAGTCGGGAGGGCGATCCAATCAACTTGTGCTAATTAGGCTTTGCTGAAGCTGAAAGCAGCTGTTTCTTTCTTGCTGTTTGCTTGCAAGGAGGTAAATTGCTGGGAGGCAGAGGCCGACAGGTGGGTGGGGCTACATTTGGTGTATAAGACGCACCCAAATTTTCACCCCCTTTTAGGGGGAAGAAAGATGGTCTTATACGCCGAAAAATACGGTGTTTAGGAAATTTATATTGCCACCTATTCCGCCCATAGCAACTGAAAGTGGCTTACAAACTGGGGAACACCGTCTGTGCCCTATGCAGTGTCTTTCCCTGTCAGAGAGCCCAAGCAGCACGACAGGAGGGCTTTCGGGAGAACCAGCCCGTTTCCTCTCTCAGCATCCCAGGTGAGGGACTCACCTGACAGCATCCCAGCGCTGCTTACAGGTGTGCTGCTTCCTGGCAGGCTGGCCGAGTTCATCCGAGCCTGGTCCTTCACAATTGGGTCTGGAAAGACGAGAAAAGAAGGAAGGCGATGACCCCTTGCGTGGGCTTCCGACATTTGTTAAGTGAGCTTTGCCCCCATTTTACAACCTGTCCTGCCCCCGTTGTTAAGCGAATCACTGCAGATAAATCAATTTAGAAACCCGATTGTTGAGTGAATCTGGATTTCCCCACCCCAAAGTCCTTCTGACTTTGCTGGTCAGGAGGTCGCAAAAGGGAGATCATAAATCAGAGTCTCAGTTGCCAAAAACCTGAATTTTGATCACGAGACCAAGGTCGTAAATGTGAAAAAACGGTCATAAGTCCTTTTTCTTTTTTTTTTTGCAGGGTCGTTGTAATTTTGAACAGTCACTGAATGTACTGTTGTTAAGATGAGGACTACCTGTATTTAATGCAGCGTTCCAGAACCCTCCAAAAATGCGGGACTACAAATGCCAACATCCTTAGCCAGCTCACCAACATTAAATGATTCTGTAGTCTAACACATTTAGAAGGCCCTAACTCTTGTTTTTCCCAACCTTGGCAATGTTTAAGATAGGTGGATCTCAACTCCCAGAATTCCCCAGCCAGCTCAACTGTTATGGCCTGTTGGCCGCAACCTGAATCAGAGGAGGAGGAGGAGGAGGTGTGGGAGTCAGGATCAGCATCAAGGCAACCTGAGAACTCCGAGGGGAAAGAGGGAATGGAGGTGGCCAAGAGAGAGATGGAGGTGGAGCCTGGACCGTCTGTCAGTCCTCAGATGGAGAGTCAACAGCCCCCAGGTCTGGAGGTGGCTGATGAGGAGGAGGAGGAACAGCTGGGTCCAGTGCCTGATGCTCAGAAGGCAGAGGAGAGGAGAGCAGTGGAAATCTATGAGCCGGTCCTTGGGAAGGAAGAGCCACTGCTGCTAGAGAAGCCCCACCCTAGCTCTGGGGATAAAAGGAAGGGGGCAGAGATGAATAGATGTGGCAGACAACTATTCATCTCCCTGCCGGACAGACTTGTTAGCCTGCGGTGAGAGAGAAACCTTTTGCCAGGGCTGCTGGCGCTCCTAATAAAAGGGAACATTTAACTAGAGAGGGTTTGTCGTGTTTGGAAGCCTGGTCAGAATTCAACATTCAGAATTCCCCAGCCAGCTTTAAGAGGAATGGACTTCACTTCCCAGAATTCCCCGGCTAGCCATTCCCCAGGGAATTCTGGGAATTGAAGTCCACCCCCCCAGCTCTTAAAGTTGCCACGCTTGAATAACATTGTTCTATATACAAAGCTTTTATTTTTTCATAGCTCAGCTATCAACTCCAGGTCCGATTTTCGTATTTTGCAATATTTGGCCAACATCAACTTTGTCATAAGAAAAGGACGCAACCCCGTCACTGTAACGGGATTCCCTGTGCACAGTCACTCACGCCCTCGTCACCTCTCGCCTCGACTACTGCAATGCTCTCTACATGGGGCTCCCCTTGAGGAGCACCCGGAGGCTCCAACTGGTCCAGAACGCAGCAGCGCGGGTAGTGACGGGAGCAGCATGGCGCTCCCATGTAACACCGCTCCTGCGCGAGCTGCACTGGCTCCCGGTGGTCTTCCGGGTGCGCTTCAAGGTGTTGGTTATCACCTTTAAAGTGCTCCATGGCATAGGACCTAGCTATCTTCGAGACCGCCTGCTGCTACCGACGACCTCCCATCGAACCGTGCGCTCCCACAGAGAGGGCCTCCTCGGGGTGCCATCAGCCAAACAATGTAGGCTGGTGACCCCCAGGGGGAGGGCCTTCTCTGTGGGGGCACCTACCCTCTGGAATCAGCTGCCCCCAGAGATAAGGAGAATCCAAGACCTCCGTGCCTTCCACCGTGCCCTTAAAACCCACTTTTTCCAGCAAGCCGGGCTGGCTTAAGAAGAAATTTTTAAATGTTTTAATTGGTTTGTGATTTTTAATTTTTGGGCCAAATTTATATATATTTTAACTGTTTTTTAATATTTTTATTTCATGTTCTTAATTCTGGCTGTACACCGCCCTGAGTCCTCAGGGAGAAGGGCGGTATATAAATTGGAAATAAATAAATAAATAAATAAATAAATTAAGTCAGTTAGTGCAGCACCTAGCATTCTCCGGGGTTATTCTGAAAGCACGTTAAGTAATATTTCCTGCCGAGTCTTTGTCCTGCCGAAGGACACTCGGGCTTCCCGAGAACCAGACTCACAGAAGTAAGGGTGCTCCATGGCTTCTCGGGCGGTCAGTCGGGACTGGTGATCGTATCGCAACAACTTGTCCAAGAAATCTAAGGCTTCGGGACTGACCAAGTGCTGATTCTCACTGTGGACAAAACGTTCCCATCGTTTCCGTGAATGCCTGCGAGAGAGAGGGAAGGAAAAAATGCAACTATTTTAACTCCGGTAGGCACATCCGTCTGTTCGTCTATAACAAGAGTCTTCAAACTTGGCCGCTGTAAGATTTGTGGACTTCAACTCTCAGAATTCTCCAGCCAGCTATGCTATGCTGGCTGGAGAATTCTGGGAGTTGGAAGTCCACAAGTCTTAAAGGGGCCAAGTTTGAAGACCTCTGGTCTATAAACCGTCTTATTATTTAAGGAAATTTATGTGACCGCCCAACTCACTCAAGGTCCTTGGTGGTTTCTGAGCTTGGTGGGTTTTTTAGCAGGCGTTTCATTACCCTAACTAGGTAACATCATCAGTGCTAGAAGGGAGTGGGGTTTGCAGGGAGGAGGAGGAGGGGGGGGGGAGGAAGAGGAGGAGGAGGAGGAGGAGGAGTTTGGGGAATCTGGTGTACTCTGAGCTTGGCTGTTTCATGGCAGACATTTCATGACCCAACTAGAGAACATTATCAGTGCTAGAAGGGAGTGGGGTTTGCAGGGAGGAGGAGGAGGAGGAGGAGGAGGAGGAGGAGAAGGAGGAGGAGGAGGAGGAGAGGAGGAGGAGGAGGAGGAGTTGTTTGGGGAATCTGGTGCACTCTGAGCTTGGCTGTTTCATGGCAGACATTTCATGACCCAACTAGAGAACATTATCAGCGCTACAAGGAAGTGGGGTTTGCAGGGAGGAGGAGGAAGAGGAGGAGGATTGTGAGGTCCTTGGAGCTCTCTGAGCCTGTTTGTTTTCTTGCATCGGTGTTAAAAGGGACTGACAGCAAACCCCATTTTCTTCTGGCACTGATGATGTTACCTAGTTGGGTGACGAAATGCCTGCAAGAAAGCAACCAAACTCAAAGAGTTCACCAAGGACCCCACAAAAAGTCCTCCCCGTTTTTTCTTCTTCCCCACAAAACCCACTCCCTTATAGCACTGATGATGTTTCCTAGTTGGGTCATGAAATGTCTGCAAGAAAATAACCAAGCCAAGGAACCCTCGTTTCAACCCTCAGTTGCAAATATTCTCTTCTCTGTTGGTATTTTGGGCAGAATATTTACAAAAAAATAAAACCCCAAATTTTGCCAACCCAATAAATCACCACACACACACCCCGGTGACAATCAAACAGGTCACTTGATGACCTCTGTATCAGGGGTGGGTTCTACATTTTTTTATTACCTGTTCTGTGGGTGTGGCTTATTTTGTGGGTGTGGCTTGGAGGTCATGTGACTAGGTGGGTGTGGTTAGCTGGTCAGAGTCATTTCTGGAAGGTCCTCGCACTTACGACCCGACTCATTTGTTTGCTTTTAACACTGATCAGCTGTAGGAGGGCCCTTTGAAGCCCCGCGGCAAGAGTTTAAACAGTTTTTTTCCCTCTAGTCATCAGCTGGGACTCAGGAGGCAGCAATAGATTGGGGGTGGGACCAAATAAAAGGTAAGAATAACGTGGGTGGGGGGGGAGGGCGGGGGGGAGAACCAGTTCGGTGACGTCATATCGTCACCGCTACCGGCTTGGCCGAACCGGACAGAACCGGGAAGAACCCACCACTGCTCTGTATCCCCCTAGGGTCCCCAGGCCCATTGGCAAAAACCAGGTCTTCAGGGTCCCAAAGAGAGTGTTCCAAAAGTCAACTGTCAATCAGGATATTTGGGCAGTTCAAACGAGTATAAAGAATTATTGCAAGCTTAAGTTTTCTACATGAATCTGAGCTACTAACAGTCAAGGGAATTGAGCGGGAACTAAGAAGGCATTCAGGCAAGATGGATTTAGATCTCTTGTGAGCACGCAGGGACTCATCCCTTATAACACGTTAGACCCCCCCCCCTCCTTTCCTCTTGGGCTCAGCCTGGTTATCTCCTACAGCAACTGGACTTTCTTGGATTTTCCATTCCCCTCCCTTCCTCAAACACCCACAGAGAGAGAGAGTTTGTGGAAGCCCTCCGTGTCCTCAATCAATTCCATCCTACCTGCCCAGGATGTCGTTGAAACGGGGATCCAGCTCAATGTTGTATTTGTCAATATAGTCGTATAGGTCTTCTGTTCCCAACACTTTAGCTATTCTCACCAACTGCGAAGAGACAACGGGAGATTGTGGATGTAATGATAAATTTAAAAAAAAATTCAATACAGATCGTCCTCGACTTACAACAGTTCGTTTAGTGACTGTTTTGAGGTACCAGACGCACTGAAAGAAAGTGACTTATGACTCTTTTTCACACAACTGTTGCAGCATCCCCTTGGTCACGTGATCAAAATTCAGACACTTGGCAACTCATACAAGAGCCCATCTTCTGGAAACTTCTCTCTAGCAGTTTGTGTATGTGTTATAGCTATAGTGATCCTATGACCTTGCTATTGTATATGGATGCATGCATCCATCTATCTCTATTCATCCATCTATCTATCTATCTATCTATCTATCTATCTATCTATCTATCTATCTATTCTACCTACCAGCTATCAGCTATGTATATCTACCATTTATCATCTATATCTATCTATTCTACCTACCTACCATCTATCAGCCATCTATCATATATCAATCACCTGTCTATCTGTCTATGTATCTATCATCCATCCATCATTATTCATCTAGCTGTTTCTATCTCTATTCATCTATATCTATCTAATCTATCTATCCATATCTATCTATCTATCCATCCCTATCCATCTATCTATCTATTTATCTATCTATCTATCGATCGATCGATCGATCTATCCATCCATCCATATCTATTTATCTAGCTAGCTAGCTATCCATCCCTATCTATCTATCTATCTATCTATCTATCTATCTATCTATCTATCTATCTATCTATCTATCTATCTATCTATAATTTTCTACCATTTATCATCTATATCTATCTATTCTACCTACCTACCATCTATCAGCCATCTATCATATATCAATCACCTGTCTATCTGTCTATGTATCTATCATCCATCCATCATTATTCATCTAGCTGTTTCTATCTCTATTCATCTATATCTATCTAATCTATCTATCCATATCTATCTATCTATCCATCCCATCCATCTATCTATCTATTATCTATCGATCGATCGATCGATCGATCTATCCATCCATCCATATCTATTTATCTAGCTAGCTAGCGATCCATCCCTATCTATCTATCTATCTATCTATCTATCTATCTATCTATCTATCTATCTATCTATCCATCCATCCATATCTATTTATCTAGCTAGCTAGCTATCCATCCCTATCAGCTATCAGCTATGTATATCAATCACCTGTCAGTTTATCTATGTATCTATCATCCATCCATCCATATTCACCTTTCTCTATTTATCTATCTATCTATCTATCTATCTATCTATCTATCTATCTATCTATCTATCCTACCTACCTACCTACCATCTATCAGCCATCTATTTATTCATTCATTCATTCATTCATTCATTCATTCATTCATTCAATTTATATACCGCCCTTCTCCTATTGGACTCAGGGTGGTGCACAGCCAAGGATAAAAAACATACCAATACAAAATTTAAAATCAATTAAAAGAATTATATAGCTTTGGCCCACAATTTAAAACAATCCAATTAAAACCCAATTTACACTTAAAAAGCTAAAAAAAGCTAAAAAGGGGGGGGGGGTTTACCAACACCTTGAAGCGCACCCAGAAGACCACTGGAAGCCAATATCTATCATACATCAATCACCTGTCTTTCTATGTATGTCTTTGTATCTATCATCCATCCATCCATCACTATTCAGCTCTCTCTCTCTCTCTCTCTCTATCATCTATTATTTTCTATATCTATATCTTCTGTATCAGCTATCTATCAGCTATGTATATCTATTTGTCTATCTATGTATCTATCATCCATCTATCCATCCATCCATCCATCTATCCATCCATCCATCCTCATGAAAATGGGCTCCAGCACAAGTCTGAAAGCTCGGAAGACAAAACCTCCAGTCCTGGTGACCAACCCAGATTGGATCCTGCAACATTCCTGCCTGTGTGAGCTAGGCCACTATGCCAATTCTCATCGCTTCAATGGCCAGGAGCTGGAATTGTGAATTTGAAGGAACCCCAAAACAGCGCCCTGAAATGAGCATTTTTGACTGCAAAGGTTTTGTAGGCCCCCATTCAAAGGCTGCGCAGACAAGGGGGGGGGATGAAACAACCTACTGAGAGGACGTTCCATGAGTCTACCTGAGCATCTACCTCTCTGTCCATACTTGGCAGACCTGGCTGACCACATGCCGAATGTGCAGGCTGAGAGGTTTTGCTCCCCGCACTCTTCTCACCTGATCGTAATTGTCGTGACCGTGGAAAAAGGGCTCCTTTCGGAAGATCATGCTGGCGAGCATGCACCCCAAACTCCACATGTCCAGGCTGTAGTCGTACATCTACGAGAAAGGGAAGGAAACTCATTAGCATGGCTCACTCATAGATTGACATGGGAAAGACTCAACCGGCATGGGCAATGTTCTCATGGAGAGGTTGGAAGGACTGCATCACTCCATGACTCTTACGCTTACTCAGAAATATAATTCAATACAATGAATGTCCAGTGATATTCTTTTTTTTTTTAATTTGATTTATATGCCGCCCTTCTCCGGAGACTCAGGGCGGCTTACAAGGCGTTAAGCAATAGCCTTCATCCTTTTGTATATTTATAAAGTCAGCTTATTGCCCCCACAATCTGGGTCCTCATTTTACCTACCTTAGAAAGGATGGAAGGCTGAGTCAACCTTGGGCCTTGGCGAGATTCGAACCTGCAGTAATTGCAGGCAGCTGGTCTTAATAACCAGCTTAATAACAGGGTGCCTTAGACCACTGTACTACCAAGGCTCTTCTTTCTTTCTTTCTTTCTTCCTTTTTCTTTCTTTCTCTTTTTTTCCTTCCTCCCTTCCTCTATCTATCTATCCAGCCATCCACCCATCTATTATGCTTGTCTGCCTGTCTCTCTGTCTAACCACACTATCAAAAAAGATGTTGAGACTCTAGAAAGACTGCAGAGAAGAGCAACCAAGATGATGAGGGGACTGGAGGCTAAAACATACGATGAACGGTTGCAGGAACTGGGTAGGTCTTAGTTTAATGAAAAGAAGGATCAGGGGAGACATGAGAGCAGTCTTCCAATATTTGAGGGGCTGCCCCAGAGAGGAGGGGGGGTCAAGCTATTTTCCAAATCACCTGAAGGCCAAACTGTCAAGTTTCCGAAAGATGCCCTAATTAATTCATGAGCCATGATCCAAACTTCAAAGGAAATATATTCATTTATTAGGAGCACCATTCCGGCAATACTGGGATGCATTTAGGACTGATCCTACGTAGATTTACGTTCCCCTATGACCCTGTCTCTCCCCTCCTCTCTGGCCATGTCATAAATCACATTCTCCAATTAACCACTTTGGCTGGCTGTGAAACCTAACACCTTCCTTCTGATTGCGGTCAGAAAGAATGTATGGAATGCACTTCAGTTCTCCCTCCCTCCTGCTCATGGCAACTTGAAAGCTTTGCAAGTTGACACAGACAAGGAACAATGGATGGAAACTGATCAAGGAGAGATTCAACCTGGAAATACGGAAACATTTTCTGACAGTGAGAACAATCAACCAATGGAACAGAAGTTGCTTTCGGAAGTTCTGGCAGCTTCAGAAGTTGTGGATCCATCTGATCAACTTATCACATATCTGTATCTGTTATCATCTCTCTATCTGTATCTATTACCCACTCAACCTTTGTGCCTACGGTGGAACTAGAACTCACTGTCTCCTGGTGAGTTTGGCCAATGCCCAAAATCACCCAATTCACGCCTAAGGTGGAACTAGAATTCACCATCTCCTGGTGATTGGCCCAAAGTCAACCAGTCAGCTTTCATGCCTAAGGCGGGACTAGAATTCACGGCTTCCTGGTGACTGATCAAAAATCACCCAGCTGGTTTTCCTACCTAAGGCGGGACTAGAACTCACCGTCTCCTGCTTTCCAGCCTGGTGCCTTAACCGCTAGACCAAACTGGCTCTAAATATCGTTCTTTCTTCATTTCATTTTGCTTCCCTTTTGCTCCTAGGACCTAGGTTCTACTGGGACAGTAGCCCAATTGCTGGTTCCGTCCATCCCCTTTTCGCAGGTTTGTGGTCATTCCACATCAAGAGCACAAATACCTGATAATCTACGAGGAGTTCCGGTCCTTTGAAGTATCTGGAAGCTACTCGGACGTTATATTCCTGACCCGGATGGTAGAATTCAGCCAAACCCCAATCTATTAGCCTCAGCTGGAAAAAAAAAAAAGAGCAGAGATTAAGGTGGAAGGTGAAATATTTTTCTTTGGTTCTGTTGTGGTCCGCCAGCAGCCTGCAGAGCTGGAAGCGGAGTCGGAGAGTGAGGAGGCTGGGGAGGAACATGGGCCAGTCCTGGAGTCTGGGGAAGGCTCGGACGAGGGCTCTGCGTCGGAGGCAGAGATGGGGTCAGGGCCATCTGGGAGTTATGTGCTGACTCCGGAGCCTCCAGGGTTGGACAGCAGAGAGGCAGAGGTACAGGAGGAGCCCGTTCCTAGTGCACGCATGCGCAGAGCTGCCGGAAGGCAAGAGCAGCTAAAGCAAAAAGGACAACTCGGGAGTAAGGCCAGGAGATGATTGACCCCTCCCAGAAGGCTTAAAAGAGCAGCAAAGGCTTTTGGGCTCTTTGTAGGAAAGCAACGTTGCTACATTTGTTTCTCGTCAGCATCTCTTACTTCTGAACTTTTGCCAAGAAAAGCCTTTGGCAGGGTGCCAAAAAAGACAAAGGTTGGTGATAAGGCCGAAGGACTGTTTATGAAGGATTTGTTTTGGAATTAATTTGGACTAAGCTGAGAATGAAGTAATTCTCAGCTGATCTAATAAAATATGTTTGTTTAGGACTGATTGTGTCTGGTAATAACTACTTGGGCCTAGGTCACAACAGGTTCGCAACGCTCAGGCACTCGGCAGCCCCCCTGCCAGAAGGGGATAACAAAATCAGAAACAGATTTCCGGTAGTGATGTCACAGCGGAGCGGAGAAACGGGACTCCGTTATCCTCACCCGATTTCTCCTATTTGGTGACCCTTATTGGGCATTGCGAACCCCAGAGAGGTTAGCAAAGGCAGAGGGGAAGCCCCGAAGGCAGCGTGGAGAAAGGCGATCTCCTGCTAGAGCGAAGGGAAACCCCTTGGTGACGATGGCAGAGAAGACGGCCAGTATGGCTGATCTGAAGCTGTGACAGCTAGACAAGAGGCAGGAAGGCAAAAAATCAAGAAGCAATGTGGATGTGTTGGGTGAGAACTATTCAATTCTAATTCTCTAATTCGAACGAAGGGAAAGGAAGGGAAAGGGAAGGACCACCTGGATGCCAAAGTCCAGAAGCTGAACCATTTTTGCACCTGGCTAAATATACCAAATTTCTCTTTTTCTTTTCCTAATCTTTTTTTAGCAAGACCTGACCCACAATGTACACAGCCAAAGGTTATCAACTCGCTGAAGGACAGGGAGAGAAGGAACCCTCACCTTTCGATGCTCGTGGTCAATCATGACGTTGTGAGGTTTGACGTCTCTGTGCATGATTCCCATACTGTGGCAATAATCGAGGGCCTAGAGAAGAGAGAGACGTCCCAACATCAGAAAGGAGGGTTTCATATATGAAAGTCGCATCACGTCCATAGCAGAACAAATTATAGGGAGTCCATTTTGCGAAGGGCCACAATTCACTGTAGCTGCTCAGAAAATGGCAGCCGCTTCCGAGGTTGCCACATGTCACCCAGCAAGAGCGTGGCCTATCTTCCTTCCCTAAACTGAGCTCCGGACATCTTTGAAAGTATACAATCGCTGATGTGGGGGTGAGCGGAGGGTGTGTGGCACGGTGGGATGGGATGCAGCCAAAGGCCTGTGGGGACCCCGGAAGGTGGGAAGCAAAGCATGAGGTGTTTTGTGGCGGGACGGGGGACATTTTGTGAGCAGGGCCTGGAAGAACCAGGCCATAAAATAAAACCTCAAACCAGTGTTTCTCAACTTTAATCCTGCGGACTTCGACTCCCAGAATTCCTCAGCCAGCACGCGGAATTCTGGGAGTTTGAAGCCCACCTGTCTTAGACATGCCCAGGTTGAGAGACATTTTCTTAAGCAATTGATTCAACGTAAGAAAGGTGAGATGATCAACTAATGGCAACATTGAAGAGAAAGCAATCTTACTACTCTGAGATTCTATTGGTTACAATGCTATTAAGAAGTAGGGGAGGGGAGGGAGAAAGAAAATAGAGAAGGAGGAGGGGAGGGAGAGAGAAAGAAAATAGAGAAGGGGAAGAGGAAGGGGAGAGAAGGGAAAGGAAGGGAGAGAGGAGAGAAAAGGAAAGGGAGGGGAGGGGAGGAAAGAAAAAAGAAAGGAAAGGAGAAAAATGAAATGGAGGAGAGGAGAGGAGGAGGGAACGGAGGGAAAGAGGAGAGGAGAGGAAAAAAGGAAAGGAAAGGAGAAAAAGGAGAGAAAAAAGGAAAGGAGAAAAAGGAAGAGGAGGGGAGGGGAGGGAGGGGAGGAGGGAAAGAAAAGGAAAGGAAAGGAAGGAAAGGAAAGGAAAGGAAAGGAAAGGAAAGGAAAGGAAAGGAAGGAAAGGAAAGGAAAGGAAAGGAAAGGAAAGGAAAGGAAAGGAAAGGAAAGGAAGGAAAGGAAAGGAAAGGAAAGGAAAGGAAAGGAAAGGAAAGGAAAGGGTGGGAAGGGGACACGGACACTTCTGAATTAAGAGAGGTATGATTCATCTCTCCTGGTCTGTCTTAACCCAAAGAAACTTGCTCAAGCCCTCAGCGAAAAGAAAAATAAGACATTATCCGCTCTAAAATGAGCCGGCCTCTCATTTCTCAAACTCTTTATTTCCGGACTGTCTCAAAAGACTTCACAAAAGGCAACTCACCTTCAAGATTTCATACATGTAGAACCGAATGTCATAGTCCGTTAACGTCTGGTATAATTGCTGTGGGAAATGAACACAACGACACGGTCCAGATGAATAAAGCGGCAACCTTCTCTGTTTCTAACCCAACAAGGACGTTAACTGCGCTCAATCTCACCCTGTTTCTTGGTTAGGAAAATATTCCCACAGGCCAGAGTGGGACAAACCAATGAGAGAAATAAAACAGAAGCTAATGAAAGAGACTCTTTGTAGCTCAGGGTTGAACCGGGGGGGGGGGGGGGTGGTCCATGGTGCAGATGTTTCATTATCCAATTAGATGGCATCTTGTATTAGAAGGGAGTGGGGTTGATAGAGGAGGAGGAGGATTGTGGGAGTTCTGGTGCTCTCTGAGCTTGGTTGTTTTCTAGCAGATGTTTCATTACCCAACTAGGGAACATCATCAGTGCTAGAAGGGAGTGGGATTTGTGAGGAGGAGGACGACGACGACTCTGGGGTCCTTAGGGCTCTCTTGAGCTAGGCCATTTTCTTGCACAGACATTTCATTACCAAACTAGACAACCTCATCAGGGCCAGAAGGGTGTAAGGTTTGCTCTCTAGATACAAAGGGCTTGCCCTGCCAGTGTTGGTGGAACGTTCTTAATGGTGCCTGGTGGAGCAGCAGACTAAAGTGCTGTTAACTAGCACCAGCTGCCTGCAATTACTGCAAGTTCAAATCTCACCAGGCTCAAGGTTGACTCAGCCTTCCATCCTTCCGAGGTAGGTAAAATGAGGACCTGGATTGTGGGGGCAATAAGCTGACTTTGTATAAAATAGAACACCGCTCAGGGGGGCCCAAAAAGCCCTACTAAGCAGGTATATACAAAAGTATGAAGGCTATTGCTTAATGCATTGTAAGCCGCCCTGAGTCTCCGGAGAAGGGCAGCATATATAAATCAAACTAATAAACTAATAAATAAATAAATAAATGGTTCCTGTGGTTTACTGCTCGTTTATCTAGTATTAATCTTGATGCTGATCTCTGCTTCTCTGGATGTGGGTGGCTTTTTAAGCATTTACGTCTTCCATCATTCAACACACATTTTCACCCAAATCCACTGGCAGCCACTCAAAAACGGAACGCAGGAGTTCCTCCCAAAAAAATCAGATCACTAAGGCGCTTCCCGCTTCATCGTCATCCCTTTGCTTCCATGTCCCCATCAAAGCTTTCTCTCCCCCACCTCACCCCTCACCCCTCACTTAAGCCAAGAAATTAAAAACGCTGCCCTCTCCCGACGGATGGAAAACCGTACCTTAAAATCTGTGTTGTTCACATGTTCAAACACCAAGGCAGGGGTCCGTGACTAGGAGAGGAAAGAAGGAAGGAAGGAAGGAAGAGAGAAGGTCAGTCACCTGGGGTTCCTGTTCTTCCAATGCATGATTTATTAGGTCGCATTAAAGGCTGCTCAGAGATTGACTGACTGACTGCCGGCCGACATTTCTAGAGTCCAGGAAAAGCTTAGAAGGAGAAGGCTGCATTTTGTAGAAAGCTGAATTAATTCTGAGGCCTGATCTGATCAAACCTTTCAGAATAAGCTTGGGGGGGGGAGGGGGAGGCGGGAACCAGAGGCAAAAACAGGAAATAAAATATCACTTTTACCATTTTAGGATCCCGTGACCAAAAACACCTGAAATGCTGAGCTACCTGATAATTATATAGTCTGGGAGGTTGTCTGGTGGGGTTATTATTCGAAATGAAAAAGACAACAGGCGTTTGTAAACAATTTTACCTGTCGTCCCCAGACCCGGCTTAAAATGTGCTATTTGCCTAAATCAGGTGACAGGAGATCGGTCTGCAACTTGTGAGTTAGACTCTGTGCCTCTGATGAACTAGATTTTATTTTTTTTAAATAAAAATTAAAAAAAAATTTAAAAAAATTTTTTAAAGATTTTTTTAAAAAAAAATCTAGGATTTATTCAATTTATATGCTGCCCATCTTCGTGTCGAGACACTGGATCGCTAACAACAATACAAAGACAGAATAAACACTGCCCAGAATCCCCTCTATGAAGGAGATGGTCAGTTTTAAAATGTGACAGGCAGACAGACAGATATACATATGGATGGATGGAGACAGAAAGATGATTAGATAGATGATAGATAGAAGACAGACAGACAGACAGACAGACAGACATGGATGGATGGATGGATGGATGGATGGATGGATGGAGATAGATAGATAGATAGGTGATGGATGGATGGATGGAGATAGATATAGATATAGATAGATGATAGGTGACAGATGGATGGATGGATGGATAGAAGATATAGATAGATAGATAGATAGATAGATAGATAGATAGATAGATAGATAGATAGATAGATAGATAGATAGATAGATAGATAAGATAGATAAATAGATGGTAGATAGATATGGTAGATATAGATAATAGATATAGAAATGATAAGACAGACAAAACAGAGAATTATGTAGATGATAGACTAATGATATAGAATTACAGATGCATATAGGTAGACAGATAGATATAGATGAGAGAGGGGGGATAATACTGCTATCCTCTATCTTTTCATAAATCAATTTTTTTTTAAAAAGGCCGGGGGAAGAGATGACGTCGCGACGGAACGGACGGAGGATTCCTGGGCTCCAGGATTGCCGCTGAAAGCCCCGCTGCTGGACGGTCCTTTTTGGACCTCACAGTCTTGTTTTGGCTCTGATAGTGGAGGGCACATCCTGACAATTCCAGGGACACCGCAAAGTCCCTGGTTGATCCAGGAGGAGCCCTTTTTCTAGCAGCAGGGTGGCAGCCATAGTTGCTACTGAAGTTGGGACAGCTCCGAAAGAAGAATAGAAGTACTGTGAGTCGATGCGGTGAGAGACTTTCAATTTAAATAAATGTAAAGAACACCCTGAGATTGAAGTTGGAATTAAGTTGGAGTTAAAAGGAAATCAAGCGGCGAAAGTAAGCAGGAGTCATTTTTTATTCTCAAATTATTTACACTGGTGGTTTTAAAAAAAAAATTTTTGCTTTTGACCAGGACTGGATTGAAAAGGATTGATAGAACTGAGAGTTTAATACCTGTAAGCCCTTGTGCCTTATACTTTTCCTTCTGGACTTAATTTTTCTTTTTTGAAGATTGTTCTAATTTTTCTTTTTTTGTTTTCTTTTACTGACAAAAAAATTTTGGACTATAATAGCGGGGAAAATAGGAGTCTACTGGATTGGAAACTTTGTTATTCTTTTCTATTAAAACAGCAAGTTGAAACAATTGTATAGCATTGTTGCTATAACCCAAGGACTCTGAACTTTGCTGATAAGATTGTTGGAAGGACATCTGAGAGAGTTTGGAACTATCTGCTTTGTTTATTCAGGTGCTCTTCAGGGAACTATCAGAAGTAGGAGTCTGAAGCAAAGGAGAGAGATTTGTTAATGCCTGGGCATAAGTATTGCAGAAGAAATTGAAATTTTCTTTTATTTTTTATTACTTTTTCTTTTTGTTCATGTTAAATGATAACTCTCTGTACATTTCCCCTGCTTAAATATTTTTGATGGACTTTCCTTTCTTTATTTTTAAATAATCATGTTGGATTAAGGTATACAAGAGCCTGAAGATTGATTCTTGATTTTCATTTTCCTCTCTAATTGGCTATTTGGTCTTCCTCTGTTTTATTATTATTTCTCCTTTTTTGAATTTGATCTTCCTTTAGTGTATTTCCATTGTCAGTGGGACTACTCATTTTTTTTCCTTTTTTTTTTCTTCTCTCTCAAAGTGGATTAGGGTTTTGAAGAACCTGAAAAATTGTTTGTTTTTTCTTTTTCCCCCCTTCTTTTTTACACTTTTTACTTTTTTGGGCTTTTTCTTTTTTGTTCTTGGCCTTTGGTGACTACTGGACAGAATGAGTAGAAAAGTAGCAACAGTTGGATCTGCTTCAACTACACCCTCCTCGTCGCCATCTGGAGGACAGCGATCAATTCAGACGATGCTTCAGCAGGAGAAGGATAAAGAAAAAGAGAGGGAGAAAGATACGACATTACAAATGATTTTTCAAACAGTCCAGAGGATGGAACAACAACTACTCAAGACAGTTGAAAAAGTGGTGAGTATACAGCAAATGATGTTGAAATATGAAGAGAGACTGCAAAAGCTTGAGAAAAATGAGGAGCAAAAAGAGGAAAAAATTAAAGATATAGATAACAGATTGGGAGAAGTTGAACGTGACAGGAGTGGACTAATTGGATGTGAGATGGACAAATCAGAATTTTAATTCAGATTTTAAAATGTGGAAGAAGAGAAAGGAGAGAATTTAGCAGAAATAATGATAGGAATGCTGGCTGAAGCACTAGAAATTACTAAGGAGAAGATGATGGATGGTGTGGATGAGATATATCAAATCTATACTAGATATGCAATGTGTAATAAGTTGCCACGAGAGGTGCATATAAGATTTACTAAGAAATCAATCAAAGCACAAATACTGCAGATTGTCAGAGAAAAAACATTGAAGTATAAGGAGAAAGAAATTGTGGTTTTGAAGCAAATACCAAGAAAAGTGAGAGATGAGGAGAGAATATCAATTTCTGACTAAAATATTACTTCAAAAAGGAGTGAACTATAGATGGCTAGTACCAGAGGGATTAGTGTTAACGTGGCAACTCCAAAGATACAGAATTGATTCAATAGACAAAGCGAGAGCATTTCATGCAGAATTTTTTAAAGAGAAGGAAATGGAAATGGAATTTCAAATGACAGTAGCACCATAGAATTCCAAGAAGAACTAGCAATGATTGAAAAAGCAGAAGGCGCAGTAGGAGGGATTGTGGAACACAAAGAACAGTGTGAATTAAGATCAACTAGAGCAGTAAAGCCTGCATATAAAGTATGAATATGGAAGAGAGAAAATTGATTTCAATAAACATAAATGGACTAAATTCAGCTGTTAAAAGAAGATATTTCAAAATTAGGAAAATTTAAATTTGATATAATTTGCTTACAAGAAATACATATTAAAAAGCAACATGAACAGTTATTGGTACATTCAAAATTAGGGAAAATCTTCATATCATTGTCACAATGTAAAAAAAGAGGAGTGGTTTTATATATTAGAAACAAAATACCAGCTGAACAAATATATGCAGACGAAGAAGGAAGAATTCTGATGGTGGAGATAATGGATAATATGAAAATTCTTTTAGTTGCAATATATGCTCCAAATAATAATCAAAGTGACTTTTATAAAAAACTGCATACGAAAATAATTGAATTGGAATATGATAATATTTGTATGATGGGAGATTTTAATGGTATAGTGGATGGAGACTTGGACTATAAAACACATAAAACAATAAGACATAGTAGAAAGATACTACCGAAATATTTTTTTAAGATGACTGAGGAAATAAACTTAAAAGATGCATGAAGAGATAGAAATGGAAAAAACAGACAATATACTTTTTATTCTGATAGGCATTCATCTTGATCTAGATTAGATATGATATGGACAAACAATGGAATTGACCTTAAACATAGAACAAATTGAGATAGAAGCAAATACCTGGGCAGATCATAATCCAGTGACAGTGAAATGGAAAGGACAAAGGAGAAGATTTAGATGGACTTTAAATAATACTATATTAAAAAAAGCACTTTGTACAGAAAATGGAGAAAGAATTGGCGTTCTTTTTTAAGAAGAATAGGAAAGAAGATACTTCGACGCAAAATCTTTGGGATACGATGAAGGCCTATGCTAGAGGTTTGATAATGGATTATACAAGGAAGAGAAATGCAAAGAAAAGACAGGCATACAAAATATTGGAAGAGGACTATAAGAGATTTGAAAAAGAGCTTCAGAAATGTTCACATAAAAAAGACGTTAAAGGGAAAATGGATACAATAAAACATAAAATGGACTTATTGGAAAAAGAAGAACTAGCTCAAAAAATTAGAAATACTAAGCAGAACTACTTTGAGAATGCTAATAAACCAGGAAGATGGTTAGCATATAAATTGAAAAAAGAGAGAAAATCAAGAAAAATAATACAACTAATCGATGGCCAAGGACAAAGTAAATTTGGAAATAAAGAGAAGAAAAAAATTATACAGGACTACTATAGACAATTGTATGAGAAAGAAAAGATAGAGGAGGAAAATGTGATACGATATCTTCAAAATGCAAATTTACCTAGGATTCCTAAAGATATTGAGGAGATGCTAGAGGGAAATATAACGATAATGGAACTGAGGCAATTAAGAAACAAAAGAATGGAAAGGCACCAGGGCCAGATGGTTTGCCAGCGGAATATTATAGGACATTGCAGGAATCTTTGAGTCTCCCACTTTTAGAGGTTATGAATGAAGTGATGACAAAGAAGGAAATACCCAAGTCATGGTCTGAGGCATATATTACATTGATTCCGAAGGATACAGACCCACAACAAATAAAAAATTATAGACCTATATCCCTGCTAAATTCAGATTATAAAATTTTTGCTTCAATATTGGCAGAAAGACTCAAAAGATATTTAAATAACTTTATACATTCACCACCAAAATGTGTTTCTGCCAAAAAGACAAATTAGAGACAAATTCTGGACACTTTGGAATAGTATGAAGCCCATTCTGAAAAACAAATGGCTTTGATATTTCTAGACGCACAGAAAGCTTTTGATAATGTAAATTGGCGTTTTATGTTGTTGCAAATAGAACAGATGGGCTTTGGCAGAAAATTTATTCAAGCAATAGAAGCTATATATTATAAACAAACGGCAAAAGTAATGATAAATGAAGAATTGACAGATTCTATTGAGATAAAAAAAGATACTAGACAAGGTTGTCCACTGTCCCCTCTGTTGTTTATATTAACCTTAAGAGGTGCTAAATAGAAGTATAAGAGAAGAAAAAGACATAAAAGGAATGAACATTCGAAAAGAAGAACACAAATTGCAAGCATTCGCAGATGACCTGGTCTTTATCCTTGAAGATCCATTAACATCAATAACTACACTGATAGACAAAATTGGAGAGTTTGGGAAAGTAGCTGGTTTGAAAATTAACAAAGATAAAACAAAGATTTTGACCAAAAATATGTTGGTAAAGCAAAAAGAAGAATTGGCAGATATATCAAAAATGCAGGTCATAAATAAAGTTAAATATTTGGGGATATATTTAACAGCAAGATGTAGCACGCTTAAAGAAAATAATTATAATAAACTTAAACAACAGATAGGGACAGATTTGGCGAAATGAGAAAATCTACAGCTTTCTTTGATTGGAAGGATATCAACTATTAAGATGAATATTTTGCCTAGAATTTTATATTTGTTTCAGACAATTCCAACTAGATTGGGGAAAGACTTCTTCGAAGAATTGAACAAAATGGTGTTAAAATATATTTGGCAGGGAAAGAAGGCAAGAAAAAAATGACAAAAAAACACATTGACTTTAAACCAGAGGTATTTTTATTAGGGATTTTACCAGAAATGTATAATAAAGAACTGAGGTATTTAATTGTGAATGTTCTAACAGCAGCTAGAATTGTGTTTGCTAAAAACTGGAAAGGCGAGAAGATACCTACTGATGATGAAATTATTAAGAAAATTATAGACTGTGCAGAAATGAGTAAACTGACATTTGAATTTAGAGAACAGGAAGATAAACAATACTATTTATATGGGATTTGTTTTACCAATGGCTAGATAATAAAGCATGGAGATGAAGTATGAAATATGAAATTAATGTAACGATAAAATATATGAAATGCTCTTCTTATGGGAGGTAAGCCTCTGTTAAATAATGGCTAAATGAGTATACTGTTAAATAAGAGAAATTAAATAATTGGTAATTTTGGATATGGGATTGTGCACAAAAGAATTTTAACCGATCGACAACACTTTCTGTGATTGTATTAGAATGATGGTGGTTTTATGTTTTGTTTTTGTTTTAAATAAAAAAAAATTCAAAAAAAAAGCCAACCCCTTTGGACCCCTGAGTATTCCCTTAGCCCATCTGCTTGCCACCCATCAAAATTACTCACCACTGGATCTTTCACTATGTCGGCAAGGGTGATGATGTTGGGGCCACCTCGCAGGTTCTCCAGGATTTTGATTTCTCGTTTAATTTTCTTCTTTTTCACCGGCTGGCCAAAGGAAAACAATCAGTTAGCTGGGATAGGCAAAGCTCCAAGAGACCGGGGGGAGACCACTATAGCTGCAACCAGCATTTCTTACTGGTTCTGCTTATTGAATATATTTGGGTAACCCCCCCCCCCCCCCAAAAAAGAGGTTGCATTTAATTTTGCAGCAGAAAAGTGGTGACTGAATTGTGGGAGTTTGTGGAAGCAAATAGTGTGTCATTTGAAAAAGAAAGTGTATATAAATTCAAAGGAGAGATGAACAGGAGACTGTAGATGCTAAAGCATTAATAGAAGAGACTATTTCTATTTGAGGATTAAACTGGGGGTCCTTGGTACTCTCGAACAGAGTTCTTTTCTTACAGGCATCTCATGACTCAACTAGGAAACATCAAGGAAGTGGGGTTTGTGGGGAGGAGGAGGAGGAGGAGGAGGAGGAGGAAGAGGAGGAGGAGGAGGAGGAGGAGAAATGTGGGGTCCTTGTTGCTCTTTGAGCTTAATTGTTTTCCTGCAGGCGTTTCATGACCCAACTAGGGAACATCATCAGTGCTAGAATAGAGTAGGGCTTGCGGAGAGGAAGAGAACAAGGACTGCAGGCTCCTTGGTGCTTTCTGAGCTTGGTTGTTTTCTTGCAGACGTTTTATGACCCAACTAGGGAACATCATCGGCGCAATGGGAGTGGAGTTTTGCTCTCTGTTTACATGCAAGTCCCTTCCTCTTTCCATTTTGCCAGGACAACCAAGGAACTACCAGCTCAGACCAACAACAGCAAACAACAAACAGCCCAATCAAAGAACCACCAAAAACATCCCTACCAACACTGACAGGGGCAACCACTGTGTATAAACAGAGAGCAAACCCCACTCCCTTCTAGCCCTGAAGGTATTCCCTAGTTGGATCATGAAACGTCTGTAAGAAATCAACCAAGCTCAGAGAGCACCAAGGAACCCAGTCCTCCTTCTCCCTGAAAACCTCACTGCCTTCAAGCACTGATGATGTTACCTAGTTTGGCAATGAAATGTCTGCAAGAAGACAATGGACCTCAGAGAGCACCAAGGACCCTCTCTTCCTCCTCCTCCCTCTGCAAACCCCCTATTTTTTCTAGCACTGATGATATTACATAACTGGGTCATGAAATGTTTGCAAGAAAACAATCAAGCTGAGTGAGCACTAAGGACCCTACAATCCTCCTCCCTCTCCCTCCTCCTCCTCTTCCTCTCTGCAAACCCCACACACTTCTAGCCCTGATATTATTCAGGTGGGTCACGAAACGTCTGCAAAAAAAACCCAACAACCAAGCTTAGAGAGCACCCAGGATCCCACATGACCATCTAGCAAACATACTGTATTTTTCGGACTATAAGACGCACCGGAGTATAAGACTCAGCAAGATTTCGAAGAGGAAAACAAGAAAAAAATAGGTTTTGCCCTCCGTGCGTCTGGTTTTTGCCCTTCCCGGCCCCCAGGAGCACTTTGCAGGCCTCCCAAGCACTCTGTGCGTCCCATTTTTGTGAAAAACGAGCCCGTTTTTCGCAAAAATGGGACGCGCGGAGGGTTTGGGAGGCCTGCAGAGTGCTCCCGGGGGCCGGGGAGGGCAAAAACGCGACGGTGGGGAGTTTGGGAGGCCAAAAACGGGCCTGTTTTTAGCAAAAATGGGACACGCAGGGCGGGGTTTCAAGAAGCCAAAAATGGCAGTATTCAGTGTATAAGACGCACCAACATTTCCACCATCTTTTAAGGGGGGGAAAAAGTGCATCTTATACTCCAAAAAGTACAATACACAAAGGAGAATTCCAATGCTCGCCGTCAATTAATTTTGAAACTAATAACCAAGAATTAGCAGTAAAACAATTCAGGAAGTTGACTTTGGGGGACTGTTGAGTCTTCCTCACTCAAAAACAGTACTTCCCATGGCAACAAAATCGTGAAATGAGTGGGAATTCAAAAACAGGTTTGCAAGATTCTGGAAGTCTTTGTTATTTTGAGAGAAAAACAAGGGGGGAAAAAAAACCCCACTGGCCCTGGAACCCTCACTGAGCTCTTTGGAACTGGGCCCTGAGGAGTTAATTATCCCATAATCCCTAATTAACGAAGGCAAAAGAAGTGCAAAACAAGTGTCTTTTCCTCCAAAGAACTCAAAAAGATCTGTTTACTTCTGCGCAAATGCGATTTGGGGAACTGCTCCCTAGACTTCCTTCCCAGTAAGAACAAGATGGGCCACCGTAACTCTTTAAAAAAAAAAAAAAACTTGCATATTAGATTTATATGCCGCCCTTCTCCGGAGACTCAGGGCGGCTTACAATGCGCTAAGCAATAGCCTTCATTCTTTTGTATATTTATACAAAGTCAGCTTATTGCCCCCACAAACTGGGTCCTCAATTTACCTACCTTAGAAAGGATGGAAGGCTGAGTCAACCTTGAGCCTGGTGAGATTCGAACTTACAGTAATTGCAGACAGCTTTTAGTCTGTTGAGCTATCCAGGCTCCTGGATATGCATATTACATATGCAAATATGTAAGTTATATAACAGACCAAAATAACAGAATTGGAGGGGACCTTGGAGGTCTTCTAGTCCAACCCCCAGGAGACCCTATACCAGTGATGGTGAACCTGTTCGGCACCGAGTGCCCAAACCGGAACGTGTGTGCGTACATGCGCCGGAACGCCGTAAATCCAAAGACCAGCTGGTTGGCCAGCTGATCTTCGGATTTCTGGCACTTTGGCACACGCGAAGACCAACTGGCCGGCACGCATGCCTGCCACAGAAACCGAAAGAGCAGCTGGCAACAGTCCGTGTGCCCAAGAGAGGAGTCTGCATGCCACCTCTGGCTCGCGTGCCATAGGTTCGTCATCACGGCCCTATACCATTTCAGACAAATGGCTGTCCAATCTCTTCTTAAAAACTTCCAGTGATGGAGTACCCACAACTTCTGGTGGCAAACAGTTCCATTGGATTAATTGTTCTCACTTTCAGGAAATGCTTCCTTAGTTCTAAGTTGCTTCTCTCCTTGATAAGTTTCCATCCGTTGCTTCTTGTCCTACCCTCAGGGGCTTTGGAGAACAGCTTGACTCCCTCTTCTTTGGGGCAGCCCCTCAAATATTGGAAGACTGCTATCATGTCTCCCCTGGTCCTTCTCTTCAATTAGATTAGACGTACCCAATTCCTGCAACCGTTCTTCATATATTTTAGCCTCCAGCCCCCTAATCCTCTTTGCTGCTCTTCTCTGCACTTTTCTTTCTGGAGTCCTTCTAGAATATGGATTCACGTCACAAGAACAGGAAGTTTTCAGCTAATCAAAAAGGCAACTGTAAAACCTTCTTCCAGGCAGCTCTTAAATGTGGAAGGAAAAGTAGGCCAGATCCTCTGTTATGTCCTCTCCCCTGAGCGTAGGCAAAAAATAAAACACTTAATACTGCACTGATAAATCCACACTTGGAAATATTACATCCAGGTTTGGTCACCACGATACCAAAAAAAAAAAAGACATTCCAGGGTGCAGACAAGAGCAACAAAGATGATTAGGAGACTGGAGGCTGAAACATATGAAGAACGGTTGCAGGAACTGGGTATGTCTAGTTTAATGAAAAGAAGGACCAGGGGAGATATGATAGCAGTCTTCCAATATCTCAGGGGCTGCCCCAAAGAAGAGGGAGTCCAGCTATTCTCCAAAGCACCTGAGGGCAGGACAAGAAGCAACGGGTGGAAACTCATCAAGGAGAGAAGCAACTTGGAACTAAGGAGAAATTTTCTGACGGTTAGAACAATTAACCAGTGGAACTGCTTGCCACCAGAAGTTGTGGGTGCTCCATCACTGGAGGTTTTCAAGAAGAGACTGGAACACCAGTTGTCTCAAATGGCATTGGATCTCCTGTTTGAGCAGGGGTTGGACTAGAAAACCTCCAAGGTCCTTTCCAGGTCTATTCTGATTGATTGATTGATATGAAGAACGGTTTCAAGAATTGGGTATGTCTAGTTTAAAGAAAAGAAGGACCAGGGGAGACATGATAGTAGTGTTCCAATGTCTAAGGGGTTGCCCCAAAGAAGAGGGAGTCAAGCTTTCTCCAAAGCACCTGAGGGCAGGACAAGAAGCAATGGGTGGAAACTAATCAAGGAGAGAAGCAACCTGGATTTAAGGAGAAACTTCCAGACATGGAGGACAATTAACCAGTGGAACAACTTGCCTCCAGAAGTTGTGAATGCTCCAACACTGGAAGTTTTCAACAAGAGACTGGGCAACCATTTAACCAGGATGGTATAAGATCTCATGGAAGATCATGCTAAGATAGCATGCATATCTCTATTTCACTGCTGTTAACCACCATAACATTTTTGTCTTTAAAAGTCCCATTCTTAGCATACTGGCACAATTAACAGAGCTGCCCAGACCGTAAAACAGCCACCCAGAATCATCTTACAAGCATAATAAGTAAATAAATCCCTTTTTTTTATAGTGTCCTTGGTGGTTTCTGAGCCGGGTGGTTTTCTTGCACACACCACTACTGATGATGCTACCTAGTTTGGTAATAAAAGGTCTGCAAGAAATCAAGTGCAGAGAACACCAAGAATCCCAGTCCTCCTCCTCCCAAACCCAACTCCCTTCGATCACTGATGATGTTAACTAGTTAGGTTATGAAACGTCTGCAAAAAAAAAAGAACCAAACTCAGAGAGCACCAAGGACCCCACAATCCTCCTCCTCCTCCTCTGCAAAACCCACTCCCTTGTAGCACTGATAATATTACCTAGTTTGATCATGAAACGTCCGCAAGAAAACCACCAAGCTCAGAGAGCACCAAAGACTCCGCAGTTCAACCCTGAGCTACAAATCTTCTCTTCTATTGCTAAAAACTTTTTAACTCTACAAAAGAGTAAGAGTTTTCTTACTCTTTTGTAGACATTTATCCCAGGAATGCCACAGGGACAGAGCAATTAACTAAGCTGTCAACTTGCATATGGTCTCCTGTGTGACTCTTTAATGACGAGGCGTAAAAATTTTGTCCGAAATTAGCTAAAGGGGCATTTTGTAAAATCTTTCCCCTCTGCACAGCAGCCTCACCTTCAGAATTTTAACGACTACTTTTTCATTATTTGTGATGTTGATGGCTTCAAAGACTTCGCTGTATTTGCCCCGGCCTAACTTCCGAACTAGCTGATAGTCGTCTTGATTTCTGTAAGACCAAAAAGAGAGAGAGAGAGAGAGAGAGAGAGAGCATTATGCAAGGGAAGAGAATTAAATTATTCATCACCCGAAAGCATTCTTGTGTTCAAAGAAATCAACTCACTGTAGGAGGAGAACTGTTAGTCTGTAGGAGGGAAAAATCAGGAGTCTGGTAGCATTCCTTTTCTGACTAACATATCTTGCCCCAACTTTTAAAGATAACTGGACTTTCTTAAACTGGACTTTAATCTTTCTTTAAGATGTTTCGTTTCTCATCTAAGAAGCTTCTTCAATTCTCCTGGTGATTGGCCTGAGTCTTTTTTTGTGTGTGTGCCTAAGGCAGGATTAGAACTCATCATTTCCTGGTGATTGGCCCAAAGTCACTCAGCCACCTTTCCTGATGAAGGCAGAACTAGAACTCACTGTCTCCTGGTGATTGGCTCAGAATCATCAGATAGACTTTCCCCCCTAAAACAGGACTAGAACTCATCATCTCCTGGCGATGGGCCCAAAATCACCCAGCTGACTTTTTTCCTTAAGACAAGACTAGAATTCAGGGTCTTCTGGTGATTGATGTAAAATCACCCAGCCAGTTTTTATGTCTAAAATGGGATTAGAACTCACAGTCCAATTTTTAACCTGGTCCCTTAACCACTAGATCTTCTTATATATACTTCTCGCTGTCAAAATTTAGACCAGTAACATGTGCCATGGACCACTGCTCAATCTAGACCAATACTGGTGAATTTCTCCAATATTCAGAGAGTAATTCACAGAGAGTCACAGAAAAATGGTCATAAGTCACTTTTTCCAGTGCTGTTGTAACTTAGGTCACTGACTGAACTGTTGTAAGTTGAGGACTACCTATAACAAGAGATGAAACCCTAGTCCAACACCCTGCTCAAGCAGGAGACCTATATACCATCCCAGACAAGTGACTGTCCAGTCTCTTCTTAAAAGAAGAGCCTTGGTGGCACAGCAGACTAAAGTGCTGTTAACTAGCACCAGCTGCCTGCAATTACTGCAAGTTCGAATCTCACCAGGCTCAAGGTTGACTCAGCCTTCCATCCTTCCGAGGTAGGTAAAATGAGGACCCGGATTATGGGGGCAATAAGCTGACTTTGTATAAAAAAGAACACCGCTTGGGGGGGGCGAAAGCCCTACTAAGCAGGTATATACAAAAGTATGAAGGCTATTGCTTAACGCATTGTAAGCCGCCCTGAGTCTCCGGAGAAGGGCGGCATATAAATCGAACCAATAAATAAATAAATAAATAAAAAACCTCCAGTGTTGGAGCTTCTGGAGGCAAGCTGTTCCACTGGTTAATAGTTCTCAGTGTCAGTGTCAGGAAATTTCTCCTAAATTCAAGGTTGCTTCTCTCCTTCATTAGTTTCCATCTGTTGCTTTTTGTCCTGTCATGTGCTTTGAGAATAGGTTGACCCTCTCCTCTCTGTGGCAGCCCCTCAAATATTGGAAGGTTGCTATCAAGTCTCCCCTAGTCCTCCTCTTCATTATATTAGAAATATCCAGTTCCTGCAACTGTTCCTCTTATGTTTTAGCCTCTAGTCCCCTAATTCTCTAAATAATCTTCAGAAACGACAGGCTTGAGACCCAAGAGTGCAGGAACAAGGCCACCTTCAGCCAAGGAAGCTGACTTGCAGACTCTCACTATCTCTCTGCCTAAATTTCCTTCGCACTGCAGCGGGGAGGTGATACAAAATAGAGGTGAGAGTGCTATATAGGCTGCTTCGAAGTCCTGCTAGGAAGAGAAGATATACCTCACACATAATGTGCCAATCAGGGCTCCCTTTTAATAGAGAAGCAGTGAATCAATCCTTCTTTCTTTTTCATTTTGCAGCAGCCACCAAGTCATTCTCTGACCAATTTTATTTTCTTATTTCCTGGCTTTGAAAGATCCCAGCTTCTCCACCACATCCACGGTTTTAGCCACAGAGGGATAAAAGCTTTTAAGTATGTGATGGATCCTTTTCAATGTTTGTGGGAAATGACAGCAGCTGTGTGACTTTGGCCCAATCACCAGAAGATTGTGAATTCTAATCCCGCTTTAAGCATGAAAGATGGCTGGGTGACTTTGGGCCAATACCAGGAGAGGGAAAGTTTTAGTCCCGTTTTAGGCATGAAAGCCAGCTGGGTGACTTTGGGCCAATCACCAGAAGATTGTGAATTCTAGTCCCGCCTTAAGCATGAAAGATGGGCCAATCACCAGGAGAGGGTGAGTTCTAGTCCCGCCTTAGGCATGAAAGACGGTTAGGTGACTCTGGGCCAATCACCAGGAGTTCTGGCTCCACCTGGTGGTGGAGTGTGGTGGCTCACATGGTATGGGAAGAAGAAGAGAGGGAAGAGAGGACAGGGAAGAGAAAAATGGAAGAAGAAAACAGAACAGAGAAAAGAAGAATGGGAGAAGAAAAGAGAAAAGAGAAAAGGGAGGGGAGGGAAGAGGAGGAGAGGGGAGAGGAGGGGAGGAGATTATAAAATGGAGCAGAAAATAGAATAGAGCAGAAAATAGAACAGAATAAGGAACAGAACAAAACAGACACAGAATAGACTACAACACAGTCTTTTCAACAGTTCCAAGAAAGTTCACACCCATTTGCACTACTCAGGTGAGCCTGAGGACACAGACAAACCTCCAAGTGGCCTCAACGACTGTCTAAAAGGATGCAAATGTCCAGCTGTCTGCAAGGAGTATCAATCCTTCCCTTCCCCACCATTCGGTCAGAGCTGAAGAAGCTTCTTGGATGAGAAGCGAAACGTCTTCAAAAGAAAAAAATAAGAAAGTCCAGTGGCCTCCTGAAAAAAATACCTTTGGGACAACCCTGACCTGGAGGACTGTGAATCTCCATAGAACAGAATAGAATTATGGAACGGAATAAAACCTAGCAGTCTTACAAGAGCTTTGGCACCAAAAACCCAAACAGGCCAACTTCTAGGCCAGGGACACTTACCCCCACTCCACCACGTGCGACTCGTAATCCCAGTATTCCCGTGGTCTGTGTGTATTTACATCTGTGTAAACTCTGGCCCTGCTTGGCACAGGCCCCGACATGTTGGATAGGCTGGCAGGTGGAGCTGGGCTACGGATCTGTCCTTTGCGCTTCTTCCGGCTTCTGGATCAACACCCAGGATTGCCTCCGATGGGGATCTGAGTATTATTCTTCACTGCGAAGACAAAAAAAAAAAAAGTGCAAGGATGCTAAAGAGAGGAACCGACGCTCCCAAGCTAGGTAACGAAACAGTTCCATATTTGGATTAAAACTGTATCAAGGAGCTAGGCTAAAGCTTGTTATTAAAAGGGAGGGTTTTCTTCTGCAGAAGGAATAGAATAGAACCGTGATGGCAAACCTATGGCACGTGTGCCACAGGTGGCACGCGTAACCATATCGTTGGGCACGCGAGCTCAGCTCTGTCCCACCGGAAGTCGGCAAATGGGCCGTTTCTGGCCTCCGGAGGGCCTCCAGGGGGTGGGGAAGTCCATTTTCGCCCTCCCCAAGTTCCTAGAAAGGCTCTGGAGGCTGAGGAGAGCGAAAAACGGGCTATCTGGTCCCACCGGAAGTTGGCAAACGGGCCATTTCCGGCCTCTGGAGGGCCTCCGGGGTGGTAGGGAAGGCTGTTTTCACCCTCCCCAAGCTCCTAGAAAGGGTCTGGAGCGTGGGGAGAGAGAAAAACGGGCCCACCGTGCCATCACGTGCCAGGAGCAAGGCGGGTAATGGGAGAGTGGGGGAGTCACGCTCGCATGCGCAGGGGCAGGGCGCATAGAATTATGGATGTGGGCCCGCGTGCACGCGACTCCCCCGGCTCCTGGCACATGATGGCAAAAAGGTTAGCCATCACTGGAATAGAATAACAGAGTTGGAAGGTACCTTGGAGGTCATCTAGTCCAACCCCCTGCCCACGCAGACCACCTGTACTAGGGATTCGAACCACCGAACTGCCAACCTTTCTGATCGACAAGCTGTCTTAATCACTGAGCCATCTAGTCAGACTATGTTCTTCGTATGTTTTAGCCTCCAGGCCCTTAATTGTCTTCGTTGCTCTTCTCTGCACTCTTTCTAGAGTCTCCGCATCTTTTTTACATCGTGGCGACCAAAACTGCATGCAGGATTCCAAGTGTGGCCTTACCAAGGCCTTATAAAGTGGTATTAACACTTCACGCCTAGAACTGTGTTGGCTTTTTTGGCAGGAAGGAAGTGAAACATTTCTGCCACTTAGAGCAGCAGTGCCCAACCTTGGCAACTGTTAAGACCTGAGGACTTCAGCTCCCAGAATTCCCCAGCGTGGTTGGGGAATTCTGGGAGTTGAAGTCCACAAGTCTTAAAGCTGCCAAGTTTGAAGACCTCTGGATTAGATACATCGACAGTTCAATAGCTAGATTAGCTAGATTAAATAGATTGATAGATAAGAGAGAGAGAGAGAGAGGACAGAATAACCGAGTTGGAAGGAACTTTGGAGGTCTCCTTGATTAATTTCCATCCATTGCTTCTTCTCCTGCCCTCAGGTGCTTTGGAGAATAGCTTGACTCCCTCTTCTTTGGGGCAGCCCCTGAGATATTGAAAGACTGCTATCATGTCTCCCCTAGTCCTCCTTTTCATAAGACTAGACATACTCAGTTCCTATCAAGATAGATAGATGATAGATACGACCTTCCTTGCCACAGACGTTAAGCGAATCGCCACAGTTGTTAAGTTAGTAACCCAGTTGTTAAGTGGACAACTGGCTTTCCCCCCCCCCATTGACTTTGCTAGTCAGAAGGTCGCAAAAGGGGATCCGGTGAGCTCAGAAATACTGCAACCGTCATAAATATGAGTCAAGCTTTTGAGTTTTGATTACTTGACCCTGGGAATGTAGCAACGGTCATAAGTGTGAAAAATGGTCCTAGGCCACTTTTATCAGTGCTGTTGTAACTTTGAATGATCACTAAACGAACTGTTGGGAGTCAAGGACTACCTACATTTTAAATATTTTAGAATATATAAATATATGTGTGTGTGTGTTATTACATATACATATATGTAAAGGTTCCCCTCGCACATATGTGCTAGTCGTTCCTGACTCTAGGGGGTGGTGCTCATCTTCGTTTCAAAGCCGAAGAGCCAGCGCTGTCCGAAGACGTCTCCGTGGTCATGTGGCCGGTGTGACTCAACGCCAAAGGCGCACGGAGCGCTGTTCCCTTCCCACCAAAGGTGGTCCCTATTTTTCTACTTGCGTTTTTTTTACGTGCTTTCGAACTGCTAGGTTGGCAGAAGCTGGGACAAGTCACGGGAGCTCACCCCGTTATATGCGGCACTAGGGATTCGAACCGATGAACTGCCAACCTTTCAATCGACAAGCTCAGCATCTTAGCCACTGAGCCACCGCATATATACATACATATGTATAATGTATGTATATACGTGTGCATGTGTATATAGATATGTCTCTCTGTGTGTGTACGTACACAATCTTCTTTCTTTTGCATTTTATTATCATTAACTATTTCTGTTTTCTGTAATTTCTGCACAGTAATTCTACACACTGGTCTCTGAGTGACTAAAGATTAGCACCGAGTTACATAAAGATATTTGCAGATCGATCTATCTATCTATCTATCATCTATCTATCTATCTATCTATCTATCTATCTGTCTGTCTGTCTGTCTGTCTATCTATCTATCTATCTATCTATCTATCTATCTATCTATCTATCTATCTATCTATCTATCCTGCTCAAAAAAATAAAGGGAGCACAAGCAGAAGACATCCGAGATCTGAATGAATGAAATAGCCTTATTAAATACTTTGTTCTTTACATACAGTAGTTTATACACTGCTCAAACAACTAAAGGGAACACAAAACTACTGTATGTAACGAACAAAGTATTTAATAAGGCTATTTCATTCATTCAGATCTCGGATGTCTTTTGCTTGTGTTCCCTTTATTTTTTTGAGCAGTGTATATATCTATCTATATCTATATCTATATATCTTCCATCTCTCAGCCGTGGCAGCCATCCAAGTTTGACACTCTCTGCCCTATGCAGGAACTGCAAGAACTCGTGCACCCACTGGGACAAAGAGACAGATAGTAACGCTTTAAGGTCTTGCTTCCCCCCCCCCCATCCCACCCCAATCCCCCCACCCACCAAAGCTGGGCATTTTACCCATCCCTACCTCTAACCAGCGTGGGACACCTCCGTTCCCGTTTCGCCATAACCCAGAGCTCCACCAAAGTTAATTTTGGCAGCACATCGTACTCGGTGGCTGGGATGTTGTAAACTGTAGGGAAGCTTCAGCGAGGATGTGCAAAATGTTCTGTTTTGTGTTTTTTTTTCCCTTGCACGCCGCACGGAACTGGCGTGCTTTGAGGGCAAGGCGAGAGATTTTTCTGAGAACCAATGACCCACTTTCTGTCCTCTGGAGGGATCGCTCTCGCTTGTGGCACGATCCACTCCGAGAACGCGACGATCTGCACAGGTTTATAGATTAACAGAGTTGGAAGGGACCCTTGTAGGTCATCTAGTCCAACCTCCTGCCCAAGCAGGAAGACCCTGACAGATGGCAATCCAGTCTCTTCTTGAAAGCTTCCAGGGATGAAGCTCCCACAACTTCTGAATGCAACTTCTGTTCCATTGCTTGGTTGTTCTATCAGAAAACTCCTCATTTCAAATTCGCACCACAGTTTTTTTTTTGTTGGGAATAGTTACGGAGTGTACTGTGATAGAGACTAAGTTGGTCTTAAATTTAATAACAGCAGCCAGGTTACTGGTGGCATAGTATTGGAAGAAAGAAGATCCACCTACTATTGTGGAATAGACACTAAAAGTCGCGCATTTGGCAGAGATGGCGAAAATCTCATCGTATCTTAAAGATCATTCAAACGAAAGATATATATCGGAATGGAGAAGATGGATTGACTATATTCAAAACAAGTATCAGACTAAGAAGTTTCATACAGCTTATGAATGAAATATTGTTAATCTTTAGTTTAGGTTTACGGTGGTTTGAGTTATAAGGAGTTAAAGACTTAGGGAGAATTTGAAGTCAACAAATTGTTAGCATATTTTAGTTTTATGTTTGTGAATGCTATACCCTGTGCTTGTTCTGGGAAGTGAGGGAGGGGGGTGGGGGGGAAGAGGGAGGGGGAAAGGGAGGGTGGGTGGGCAAGGGGGGTGGGAGGGGGGGGGGGGGGGGGGGTGGGAGGGGGGAGAAAATGTTTGTATCTTTTATAAAACTTTTCAATAAAAAAAAAAAAAGAAAACTCCTCATTTCCAGGTTGAATCTCTCCTTGTTCAGTTTCCATCCGTTATTCCTTGTCTGGCCCTTCAGGTGCTTTGGAGAATAGCTTGACCCCCTTCCTCCTCTCTGGGGCAGCCCCTCAAATCTTGGAAGATGCTATCCTGTCTCCCCTGGTCCTTCTCTTCACTAGACCAGCCATGCCCAGTTCCTGCAACCGTTCATCGTATGTTTTAGCCTCCAGGCCTACTTTGATTATCTTAGATAAGAGTCAGATTAAGAGAGTTGGAAGGGACCTTGTAGGTCATCTAGTTCAACCCCCCAGCCAAGCAGGAGACCCTACACCATTTCTGCCAGTTGGCAGTCAAGTCACTTCTTGAAAGCTTCCAGTGATGAAGTTCTCAGAACTTCTGAAGGCAACTTCTGTTCCTTTGGTTGATTGCTCTTACTGTCAGAAAATTCCTCCTCATTTCCAGGTTGAATCTCTCCCTGGTCAGTTTCCATCCATTATTCCTTGTCTGGCCTTCAGGTGCTTTGGTAAAAATAGCTTGACCCCCTTTCTCCTCTCTGGGGCAGCCCCTCAAATATTGGAAGATGCTATCATGTCTCCCCTGGTCCTTCTCTTCACTAGACCAGCCATGCCAGTTTGCATAATGCAGATAGTCCACGGCTTACAAGCACTCGCATAACGGCCAAAGTTACGACGGATGTCCCTGACCTAAGAAGTTGCAATGTCCACCCCTCTCGGGGTCACGTGACCACGCTTCTGGGAAGGGGGGGTGTTTGATAATCAAGCCAGACCTGCAGCCATCAGGTGCCATCCCATGACGACATTTTAGGTATTTTATGATGTTTTGCTGAAAAAACAGCCTTTCCTTCCGGTTTTCGGCAAACCTGGCCTGTAGCAAACAGTTGGTTCACTTAATGACTGCAGTTTCACTTCATGACCGC